CTTTCATGATATTAATTCATTTAACCTGCATAGCCTCTCTGGGTAGAGGGGTGCTGTCATTCTCCCAAGTTTTGGATGGGGAACCTCAGACTTGAAAGGGCCAGCTGGGCACTGGGAGTCATGCAGCCCAGGCCCTCACCCAGCTGACTCGGGGGGCCCCGGTGGCTCACCCTGAACAGTAGCAGAGTCCCAGGCACCACGGCACAGAACAGAAGGATGATCCCCTCGGCTGTGATGATGCGGTTCTTGGTGCCCTCCCCCATGTCCAGGAAGGGTCTAGGGGGTGGCTCTGTGAGGAAAGGGTGCAGCTCAGAGCCGTGGCACCTCCTGCCCTCCCAGCCCCACCCCCCGCAGCAAGGCCTGAGACCCCGAAGCCCCCACTCTGCAGATGGGAACATCAGTGACTGTGTCCTGCTGGTTCCAAGCCCACAGTGAAGGTACTAGCTCTATTCCCAGCTTGCAGATGAGTAAACTGAGTGTCCCCAGCTGGAGAGTGGCACCCAGGGGCCAGGGCTGGGCCACTCACCACGGACGCGGAGGTAGGTGCCACAGGAGTGCTGGTGTGGTTGGCCTTCTTCGTGGACGCGGCACCTGTACATGCCCCCGTGGCTCTTGTTCACTTTTTCGATGATCAGCTCACCATTGGAGGATATGGGGCTATGGGTTATACTCTCAGGGGGCCACACATGGTTGCCTTGGATGATGCGCCACCAGGTGACCGTGACGTTATTTCTGCTGCCATTGTACTGGCAAGGAAGGTGGACCTCATCCCCCACGCTCACTGTCACCGATGGCGGGCCCCTGTCCACCCACAGGGCCTGGCACCCAGGACCTGCGGAGGGCAAGGCGCGTCAAGACTAGGGATGGGACAGTGGCACAGGCCCCCAACCCTGGCCCCTGCAGCTCCAGCACTGCTGGGTGTGGAGGGGAGGAGGGTGAGGACACTCCTGGTGGGGGAGGGAGGGACAGACACCCTTGACAGGACTGACACACCTTGGGGGGGATGGGGGAGAATAAGAAGAGAGGAGACACTTGGGGGAGGAGAATAAAACTCCGGGAGGGATCATGAGACTCTCCGGGGGCCCTTCTCACCTCTCCAGCACCACCTCTTGCCACCCTCCTACACACACACCCTCTTTGTGCTTTGGTCCCCATGAACTCTCTGGTTTTTTGATATTTGGTTCCCTGGAACTGGAAGTGCCCCTGCCCAGACAGCTCCTTCCAGAATTAGGTCTGGCATCCCCTCCTCCTGAAGGCCTTCCCAGTCCATGTTCCCACCCCTAGCCTCAGCGAGGCCCTGCACCTGGCCCCTTATCTTGTGTCGTCATCACAAAACCCTGGAAGTAGCTTCTCTCATTATCCCCATTTTACAGGAGGGATGGCTGAGGCCCAGGCAGGTGGATTGCCCAAAATCCCCATGCTGTCAGGAGTGGCACTGGTTCACACTCCCAGCTCTCTGGGCCTCTCACTGCCTGGGACTGAGGAGCCAGCCTTTGGGCCTGGGACTCTGGGCCCTGTCCCTCATTCTTTGCAGCTCGTATGTGTCAACCTAGGAGTTAGGGGGGAGTTCAGCCATTGGGCTGGGCTGGGGGCTGGGGGCTGGGGGCTGGGGGCTGGGGGCTGGGGGCTGGGGAGGGGCCCAGTAGGGTGAGGACAAGGATGTCTCAGAGAGACGGAGGCAGCCCTGGCTGGCTTCTCTGGGAAGTTCCAGCTGTCAGCCTCCCAGGCCAGCCCATGTGGCTGCAGCCTGCTCTTCTGGAGGTGGGAGGAAGAGAGAAGGAGGAAGAGATGGGGAAAGGGGCCGAGCAACTTCAGGGTCACAGGCTTAAAACTCAGAGGCCTGAAAGCTTCAACCCCTATTCCTAGTGTCCCCTGAGTGAGCAGCCTTCTCTGAACTCCTCAGTGTGGTCACGGCCCTGCCAGCTGGCCTTGGGCAGGGCAGGGGAGGACCAGTAGGAGGACAGGACGGGTCCAGGGAGCATCCCCTCCCCCATGCTGAGAAGGGGCGCCCTTCACAGGGGAGGGACTGACTGAGATTTAAGGGCGGAGGGTGAAGGAGGAGAAAGCTTTCTCTCCCCTCTGACACTGAACGCCACCCCCACATCCCCTTCCTGTCCCCAGCCCTGGCGCTCAGTCAAGAGGGGCCTTAGTTCCTTATTTTGACCTGTGGGGATGAGAAGGTGGGGGAGGTGTCTCTCTGGCTCCTGCCTCTCTCCTCAGAGCTGTGGACACCCCTCTTCTTCCCTACCTCCCTCCAGACAGCCCTGCGCCTTGGCCCAGCTTGGGACAGACGCAATTTCCACAGGGGCCTTCTGCAATTCCCCCTCTTTCTGCCTTCTCTCCCCCACTCCTGAGCGCCCTTCCTCTGCCTGTGCCCTCTCTCCAGCCTCTCTAGGTCCCCACCACCTTCCCCCAGCACCTGCCCTTTGGTCACATACCCAGGCAGGCAGCAGACAGCAAGAAGAAGAGGAACATGGTAGCAGGCAGAGCTTGGAGAACTCCCGAACTCCTAGGCATCTTCTCCCGGTGGGTTGGTTTGTCTGAGTTGCAGTCCTGGGGTACCAGACCCCACCCCAGACCCCGCCCTGCTTCCTGCCCAGCCCTGCCGGAGATGGGCTCCACTGGCCCCCACTGCTGGGCCCTTTAGCTGTCAGGCCTGGGGGCAGCCCCTGCCATATGCTTCAGGCGGTGAGGGCGGAGGAACTGCTCCCTGCACCTGTGGTGGCCACAATTCCCCTGAGAGGTGGCTGCTTGTTGGGGGTGTTGGCGGGTAAGAGGATGGGTTAGTTTAGTCTTGGTAAGGAAGCCTGAGGGAGCCAGAGTTTTGGGTGTCTGCTGAGGACAAGGTGGTGGTTCTGAGCTTGACCTCTGCCCCTCTCTGGCCTTGGGCAAACTTGTTCCCTCTCTGACCCTCTGTTTCTTTGATTCTTGGGTTTGGAAACAAGGATTTAAAGGGGCTGTCGCATGCACAACACTGACCACAGGGCCTGTCCCGTAGCAGGTGCTCAGTAAATGTTAGTCGCTGTCAGTGATCATGAGGAATACATAAGGCAGGCCACTAGATGGTAGCTTCCCTCCTCCCAGCCTTGGCATTTTAAATCTGTGAGATGACAATCAGAATACCTCCCTGGCCTCGTGACAGTAGCTGGTGTTCCTGCCACCCAAGGAGTGAGAGCCATGACCAGCTATTTGTTGGAGTTCTTAGACACTGGCCTCCCCACAGCTGGGCAAGGTCACCCACCCACAATTTTACAGAGGAAGAAACTGAGGCCTGGAGAAGGGAGGCTGTCACTTGTCCAGTGTCACAGTCTGGGAGTGGTGGAGCACGGATTGATTCAGTCACCTTTGTGTGACTCCCAGGTTCCTTTGAGACCAGGTAGGAGGGAAGTGACATCTCAGTGGGGAGGCTGGGGTTGTGGAGATATTTGTGAGCAGCTGGGGGACCTACACACACACACACAGACACATAAAGGGAGATTGCAGGGAGATTTTTGGTAGCAAAATTTGAGAAGCTAAGGGAAAGTTCACTTACAGGAGAATGAATACATAAATTGTGGCACATCAGCCAACAGCACACTATATATAAAGTAGGGGAAAGCGTCCATGTTTGCATCTCAGAAACAACACGAACATGAGAAAAAATACCGTAGCATGATACAGTTGACCTGTTTCCAAAACAGCACTGTGTGCAACTTAGGGACATACATGGGGAGTGACGCATGCCCAGTTCCTGAGTAGGGCTACCTCTGGGGACAGTGAGGAGGGCTGGGGCTGGGCACACAGGCTTCGTCTGTTTTGCTTCTATTTCCTGTTACTTTTTAAACTGGGTGCTGGGTTCATGGGTTTTTCTTACACTATTGTGAATACTGTTTTGTGTGCCTGAAATATTTCCTAATTTTAAAAAAGTACAACTGTCACCCACACAGAAGAGCATGAGCCTCAAGGATTCTAGATTCCTGGGTTTACACCTCACATCTCTGAGCCTGGTTCTTCTGTCACATGGGCACAATCCCCCACTTTGTGATACCTTGAGGACAGTCTGAAGTGTACCTAGCACAGGACCTAGGACACAGTTCTATGGCCCTGGGGACCAGAGACCCATGTTCCATTGAGCCCCAAGCTGGGTGGCAGGTCTTCAACTCCTCTGTGCTTAGTTCCTCTTCCCTCCCAGGAATAAGCCTGGCTCCAGACCGGGAAGCCTTAGGACTTCTTCGGCATCTTCTGCAACTGAGCCTGTTTCCAGGCCCGTGGGTGCCCCCCAGTGGCTACAGAGGCGAGGTTGCTGGATTGCAGGCCCACCAAGGAAACCCCACCTCCAATTCCGGCACCTGACCCCACATGGACTAGATGCTATACCAGGGAGTGTAGTATGTACCCTTTGGGCCATTTTCTCCACTTTTGAGGCATAGTGTCCTGTAGCATCTAGGCCAAGGGCTAGAGCTGGCTTGCTTGGGTCCAGATGATGGCTCTGCCACTCTCTATAGCCATTGGACACCCAGCAAAACTCCCATCCTATGACTTACTTTCCCTCTCTCCAAAATGTGGTGCTTTGGGGCACCTATTTCACAAGGTTGCTAAGAGTATATAACATATTTATAAAGGCCTGGTTTTAAGTGCTAAGAAGTATAAGTCTTTCAGCCCTGACAACTTCCTGCTGGTGTAGGCCCATGAAAGGTGACCTGGAGGTCTAACCCTCTGCACCTTTTTCTTCCTTACTTGAGGACAAGCCACCTCTGTGGTGCTTGGGCAAGTGCTTAACCACGCCTTCTCTTTTCTCACTTTCTGAGAATTGCAAAGACAGGATGTGAGGGAGGCACCAGGGTGTCCTCACCCAAACCCAGCTGGGACATCTTGCCCATTCAGGGAGGAACTGGGAAGGCTCTGCCAGCTGCAGGGCACACAGCCACCCAGGGACCCCTGTGGCTCCTTCCACAAGGAAGGGAAGTGCTTCTTCCTTATGCTCCCAAAGAGCAGCCGATCAAGAGACACTCAGACCAGGATTACGAATGAGGCAATTTATTAACCCAGCATAATTTGTTCTAATGCTTCTTGTTGGCAGCTGCCACCTGTGGGAAAGATGGGAAGAGTTAGGGTCAACCATGGGTCCCTGTTGGAGCACTCTAATAGCTAGCTACCCACTACCCACCAAACCTTCGACACTCTGACGCATGGTTTCAAATGCATTCATCTCCTGTAGCCCTAACAATTGTAGGCGCTTCCCCATTTTACAGACATGTAAACTAAGACTCAAGAGAAGGGAGTTCATGAGCAGGAGCCCAGCTTCCGCCCACTGCCCACTGTGAGGGGAAGGCCACCATCAGCACTGATGTCGGTGCTGGGCCCCACCCTGCCTGGAAGAGCTTTCTCCTTCCAGGTCACCCCCAACTCCCAAAGGGCTGACATCTTCCATTCTTTGTGACACTCAAGTAAGTGGCTAAATACTCCACAGCTGCTAGGAGGCCTGTGCCAATGACACAGAAATAAAACCAGTGTTAAGCTCATGCCAGGCCCTGGGAGTTCCTGCTGAACGGTATGAAGCTGACTCCTCACCACCACCCAAGATGGGCCAGAGTCAACTTCTATGACAGGGAGCCTGTGGCTCCAGAGGTGAAGCCACCCTGCCCCAAGGTGTCAGCCAGCCTGAATGTGGATGGAGATGTGGACATAGGGACCTGAGCTTCCCCATCTCCACCTCTCCCAAGCTGTCCCTGTCCGACGTTCGGTAAGCATGAAGCACACGTGGCAGCCAGTCTTTAAGTAGGCTGATCTGGGTAGAGGAGTCATGTGTGCGGGTGCAGCTATGTGCCCTGCGGAAGCCAGGTGGCACCCTCAGCCTGGGTTCCCTCTACGCCAGCACCCAGATTTCCAAGCAGCTTCAGCAGGAAAGCCAGTCAGAAATCTCCCTGGGCAGCACTCCTCTGAACCCCACCACCCTGGGCTATGCCCTCCAAGAAAGAAAATAAGCCAGATCTAGCAACAAAGCACAGGTCCCCAGAGACTAAGGGATCCAGCCCTGGCCCACCCACAGTCCTCACCTGTCCGGCAATTCTGTCCAGATCTCTCTGTCCCTGAGGTGTCAGTTTGCGGCCTCTGCAGGAGAGAAAGATCATGCAGTCCGTGAGCTGAGGTTCTCAGCCCCTTCCCTCCTGGTCATGAGCCAGGCTTCCCAAGAAGGCACCTAGCTATAGACCACAGGATGCCAGCCAAATCCCACTGAGGGCCCCAGTTGGCTGCAATCTAAGGAGCTGGGAGCAGGAGTGGGAGCCCCCCTGAGAGCTGACAGGGTGTTGTTTGTGCAAGCATTAGATCAAAGCCCCGAAAAATCAATTGGGAAAAGTTAACGAGCAGGCTAATGAAAGTGGACAGTCGCTAAATTACCTTCCTGGAGCTCGGGGTAGTCAGCCAGAGAGGTCGGGGTGAGGCCCTTTGCTGTTCGCTTCTCTGCAGCCCCCTGCCTGCCTCTGAGGACAGGCCTGGCACCTGCACCTCTATTCATGGGACTGTGGGCTGGTGCCCAACCACTTCATTATAGGTAACCTGCGGGTACTGACCCCTACCCTGCTTACCCATCTTGATCCTTTTCCACCATTTTCAGCCCCTCCAGGGCTTGCAGGACCCTGCGAGCCACACTCTTGGAGCCTCGGCTGAAGTGGCTGGGCATGACGCCATTTCTCTGACGTCCCCCGTAGATCTTGGTCATAGAGCCAACCCCAGCGCCGCCCCGGAGGTACAGGTGCCGTGCTGTGGAAGCTGGGGGTAGAGTAAGAGGGAGACTTGAGGATGCTTCTCAGAGCTGAGGCAAGGGCCTGTTCAAGGCCACACATAAACAGTTCCACATTTGTGTCAACAGCTAATTCTCACCATTTTATAAGGAGAGAAACTGACTAAGACCCGGACCGGACAGATCCCTCTCCCTGACCTGACCCCCAGCTGGCTCTCCCATCGCCCTGTGCTCTGGGTGGGTCACCCCTTGTTGAGATTGACTTATTTTGCTGTTGCAGCCTTAGCAGGGATGCTGTGAGGCTGAACATGAGGCACTGCAAGAGTGGAGTTTAACAAATGTTCAAGAAGCTGTGACCATTTCCATGTGCCCTGAAGAGGCAGGACAGCAGAGAAGGAACCTATCGCCAGAGTGTACTCTATGGGCCACGTCAGTCTGGAGGGCCTAGAATAACACCAGGGGCTGGGCACACATCCTCTGCAGTGCACGCCCACCGCGTGGAATGTGCACCACTCCCCTTGCCCGACACAGGAGTTATTGTCCCTAGACTGGCCTGGGTAAGTCCCTGGTCCACCCTGGCCAGCCCTCCTGCCTACAAGGCAAGCTCTGGCAAAAGCCAGTTGAGCTGTTAGCCTCCTCGGTAACGCTCAAACGGGGCCTGCCAGGCCCTGCGCCAAATGCTCCTCACATTCTCTCCTGACGTGCAATGGCCTCAGCCAAGCCACCTAACCCCACCTGAGGATAGGAGTAACAGTCCTTCAGACTAGTTATTGTGAGGACTAAGTACACTTCGTGTGCTATTCTTCTTTGTAGAAAGGGACACCGAGGCTCTAGAGGGTACTAACTGGCTCCCCATCACACAGCTCTGGAGGGACCACCCTGGTTCTGCCACTGTGTGAAGGCACTGGGGCCCTAGATGCAGAGAGTACCCAGATTTCAGCCATCACATGGTCCAGCCTGGCTGGGGAGCACAGGGTAGGGACTCTGGTCTATCCCTGGGGCCCAGAGACCAAAAAGTGGCCTGAGCCTGCCCAAGTGACTTCTCTCCCTTAGTTCTGAAGATCAAGTAAGGGAACTGGGATTTATTTCTCCTGTAACTACTAACAGCCAGGTGCCAGGCAGTGTCCTATGTGTGGGTGCACTTGGGTGGGACTGACCACATTAAGGGAGTTGCTCCTCCCCTCTAGCTGCAGTCCCTGCACACTCGCTCCCAGCCTCCTGCCCTGAGATCATCTCCAGACACAGCTAGCCCTCTTGTAGGTAGCTGCAGATTCCACCAGCCACAGATCAAAAATATTCACAGGGGAAAAAAAAAAAAAACAAAAAACACAATTAAAAAAAAAATTCAGCACCAGGGTTCACATAGCATCAACATCATATTAATAAAAGTAATCTAGAGATGTACATGCAATCTAGAAGATGTGCATAGGTTATGTGCAAACACTATGCAATTTTATATTAAGGACAAGCATTCTGTGGATTTTGGTACCAGGGGTCATCTCGGAACCAATTCCCTTATGCATACTGAAGGACTATACCACCATGGTCTGCTGGGGGCCAAGAGTGCAGCCCCACCATGGTCCCGCTGCCTCTGCTCACTGTAAAACCATTTTCCTTAGTTCTTTCTTCTTGTACCTCACCCAAGGCCCTACCTTCTACTCCATTTGCCTTCGGACTTCCTATTCCTACAGCCCTACCCGCCTTGGCCAGCCATTAAGTCCTCCCACCCCAGCCAGGATCAAAATACTCACTTGCTGTAAGCTATCTCCCACTCTTTCTGCCAGGAGAGTGATATCCCTGGAAACCTCTATCCTACAAGACTGGCTCGAATGCCCAATAGCCCCTGCTGTCCCTCCTACGCCTGTACCTGGCTGTGCCCTGGCTCTGGAGAGAGCAGGCCAGCCCTAGGGAGGGGTAAGATACACACTCCTAAGCACACAGATGCCCAAAGATGCTGTGTACAAGAAATGGGACATTCAACCTGTCTTGCTGAGCTGGGACCACAGTGTTCAGACCTAAGACCAGTCTTCATGGTACCAAAGGAGATGATTTACTTTGAGCACTAGAACTGGCAGAGAATAAGCTCCAATAAAATCTATTAGCTTCTTCAATGGGGCTTAAATTTTTCTCAATGTCTTATAGAAACTATCTCACATGGAGAATAACCTTTGTCAGATATTTCCAGGTCTTCCTCTGCCTCCCCAGTTCATGCTTTGACCCACTACAACGGAGAAGAAGGGTATTAATTTTACAAATCGCAAGCTGTCAAAACACTGCATCCCACAAAACATCTTTTCTACCATCTTCTCACCCCAGAGACCCAGGCCCTAGCCCCACCTTTTGAAGTGGAGCCGTGTAAATCCAGACCACCTTAGATAGTATTTATGACAGCAAGCCAGGAGATGTCACAAACAGCTTCTCCTGCAGTCCCTCCACAGGCATTCTGCTCTTCTCCTGCACGTCCTTGGGAAGGCAACCTGCTCCCCTCAGGAAACCCTGCCCAGGAGTCACCACCCTCCCCCAGAACTACAAAGCGGGGGCAAAGCAGGCCAACCGTCAGCCCACATTCAGGGTAGAACAGCCGTGTGTTCCTACCCAGCCAAGGGCAGACCAAACAAAGCTTCTCAAGAATTGTCACAGCTCAGCACCCAATGATTTATTAAGATTGATGGCCCCATCCTGAGTCAAAAAGACAAAGAAACCCTCCCAGGTGCTCTGCTATGACCCTTCTCTGCCAAATTTGCAAGGAAAAACCACTTCCCTGACCTCCATTCATCCCTTAACCCAATCCTGTGATGCCCCCCAGGCCTCCTGCCTTCCACCAAAGCAGCCTAAGTGGGCGTCCAGCCCTTTGCAGATCTCCATTCACCTGACATGGGTTCTTTCTATCTCTACCTCAGCATAGGTGAGCCTAACCCCTACACCCTACTCCTTGGGACTTCTTGCTTCTATAGCTCTGCCCCATTCCCAGACCATGCTCAGGAGGGCCCAGTCTTCTGCTGTGGACCTCTTTATCCCTGCGTCCCAAGATCAAGACCTGTCAACATCATGCTGCTTCCTACATGCCTCCACAATTTGCCCCCGTTCACCGCCCTATTGTACTTTAGCTGCAAACCCCTGAGGGGGTAAATAGGCTAGCCCCAGGATCCACAGAAGGAAAAAAGGAAATATAGCACAGAATGTAGTTTTGGACAGAGCCAGCCTATGAACCCCCCAGGGTGATTTTCAGCAAGACACTTCACTAGTCTGTACCTTAGCTTCCTCTCTGGTAAAATGAATTGCTACTATGACCACAACTTGTCAAGAATGTAAGTGGACTGCCAAACCAGGTGAGAGTACACTAAATTCTAGAATAGAGGCTGGTAAACTTCTCCTGTAAAGGTTCAGATAGTTAAGTATTCCAGGGTCTGCAGGCTCTGCCACAACTCTGCCTTCGTGCACGTGAACTCATGGGCAATAGGCCTCTGCTCTAAAACCCAACCACCTGCTGGCACCAGGGCAGCTGGGGAAAGTGAGGTCAGAGAGGAACCTTTGGGAACCTCAAGTGAGGGATTCCAGCAGGCAGGTGGGCATGTACATCCTAAGTGAGATGTCCAGGAAGAGGCCACGGTAACTGTAAAAATGACCTAGGTTTATTATCTATGCTCTTGATTCCCTTTCTTGTTAGTCCCTCCCCACCTTAGAAAAAAAACCCAAAAGCATGAAAAAATGATACCAAGGGAAGAGAGCTGGGGTCCCCTCCAAGTTGTGACAAGTGTGGGTGATTGTGGCATCACTAGCTACGGACCCTGGACATGTTACTCAACCTCTCCAACATCAGCTATGACATAGACACAACCAGTCCTACCTCGGATGTTTCTGATACAGACAGATAATGCAGAATGTATATTCATCCCACCAAATGAGAAAGGTCATTAGATTCTTTTTTTTTTTTTTTTTAGAGACGGGGTCTCGCTCTTGCTCAGGCTGGTTTTGAACTCCTGACCTTGAGCAATCCGCCCGCCTCGGCCTCCCAAGAGCTAGGATTACAGGCGTGAGCCACAGCGCCCGGCCTCATTAGATTCTTAATCCTAGATCCAAAGCACATTTGGGACCAGGCAACCTTGCCTCCCAAGATGGGGGGCAGAGAGGGTGTGTCTCATCCAGGCCTCATCACTGTCCTGTGCCCAAGGAGTTAGCTTCCCTTCACCAGCCTCATTTTCTTTCTAAAAATATAGCAGTGAGTGGTTGGGGTGGGCATGTCATTAACCCTAGCCACCCCACAGAGCATATCTTTTAGTCCTCAGAGGCCAAAGGCTGGGGTCAAGTCATGTTGCCCAGTTCAGAGCCTGAACAGACTGGGCCTCCTGGCCATTTGACACATGCACCACCAATCTGCAAAATGCTTTATGTTCTGAAGTGCTGAGCATCTTGTACCAATGCCAACTCTTTGCAGGGTCATTCTGGAGTTTTGCCAATTTCCAAACTGCTTTCCACCTACTTCCTAGATGGAGCCCCTGCTTCAGAGAAAAGCTGGAAGACTGGAGAGGCCAAAGCCCTTTGCACTGACACTCCCATTCTGTTAGACCTTCAAGAGGGTGACAGCTTACTAAACTTTGAAACGTCAGGACAGGTAATAACTACCACTATGTAATCAGAACTGTATTTACATTATTATTGGGAAATTAAAACAACTTGTTAGAGACAGGGAGAAAGCTAGCATGACCAGATTGACCATAAAGACAGCTGACTTTTCTTAAACGGACTACTATGCAACAGTCATGTTTCCAAGTACTTTGACTTTATCAAACTCATTTAATCCTCACAATAATCTTGTGAGGATTGGTACAATCATTAGCCCCATTTTAGTGATGAGAAATGGAGGCACAGGCAAGGTAAATAATAACTGGCCTGAGATCATACAGCTAGTTAAATGGTAAAGATGGATTTGAACTCAGGAAGTCTGACTCAGTGGACATAGAAAGAATATTGCCTCTGTAAAACACAGCACCTCTAAGCAAAATATGAACGTACATCTGTCCCTGGGTTTCCCTTGAAGCTCAAAGCCATGAGTCCTCTCACATGTCTCTTTCTTAGAAGAACAACTTGGAACATGAAGTTATGGAATGCTGTGTCACAAAAAGCATGTGGTGACACAGTCAAAGGTTTCTTCTCCTCTTGCAACCTTGGGAGCAAGAAAAGAGTTCACAGAAGGGGCAGGTCTGTACTAGGGCTCACCCAGCTTCCCACTCTCCAGCCAAAGACCCATGTTCCTTACCAGCTCGTGTGTAGAACCAGTTCTCATCGTAGGGAGCCAGCTCCTTATGCTTGGCCAGCTTGACTGTGTCTACCCATTCTGGGACTTTCAGCTTCCCGGACCTATGATCAAGACAGTGACAAGTTCAGAAATCTCCACAACTACTCTATACCCCCAGCAACACAAATGTAGGTTAACAAGAGCCTGATGTGTCCCAGGATACAAATAAAAAGCTGAAACAGACACACAACTCCGGCCTTAGGAAGAAAGCGCAACTCTGGGGTTCAGGAGCAGGTAAAGGCGATCGCCTCCGTCCACTTGGAAACTCAGTCCCCAAACTCACTTTTTGAGGAAGGCTGCCAGAGCTCTGACGAACTCCTGCTGGTTCACGTCTTTTACAGTAACTCCAGGCATCTGTGAGGTAAGGTCAAGCATGTGAACACAAGGCCTCGTGGAGGCGACTGACAAGAGCTGGGCCCAGCCCCAAAGCTTTAGTTCCTTTAGTATCCTAAACCGCAGCACCCCAGTGACTCCCAAGGCCTTACAACGTCGGGCCCCGGCTCCTACGGGTGAGAGTTCACCGACGCCCACGGTCTCTGTGGGTCGCACAAACACAGCCTGGTCCTAGCTTAAGATCCTACGCGACCCACCGCTCAGGGCCACGATTCTGGGCGCCCCCCGCCGCTGCCCACCAGGCCCACTCTCAGTTCCTAGACGGTGCTGACCGGGCATGTCCGGGCCTGCCGCTCGCACGTGGCCGCGGCTCCAGGGGGCGGGGCGAACCCGGGCCGGGTCTCAGGGCCCTCAGACACGCGCTCGCGGGCCGAGGGGCCCGGCCTAGACGCCCCGAGTCCAGTTCGACCCGCAGCCCCCGCTTACCGTGCGGCCTCCGCGCTGCCAGCCAGGGGAAAGGGAGCGACGGGGTTTCCCGGGCGCACAAGTCGGGCGTTGGATCTCGCGAGAGTTCCAGGACTCGCGAGAACCGGACTAGAGTTAGGTGGCTCCGCCTCTCTCAGGGCGAATGTGGCTTCGTTTCCGCCTGGGTGGGGGTAGGGGGTGTGGTGAGGGCTGGAGAGGCAAAGGAAAAGGCCCGAGGGACGGGCGTGGAGGCCTGTTTCCTCTTCCCACTTCCTTCTCCCAGAGTGTAATAGAGAGAAGAGACGAGAACTCCTGTCCTGAGCTGGGGTAACTTGGCTTCATTTGCATCGTTCGCGGCTGGAAGGAACAGCGGTGGTGGAGACTGTGATGGCGGAAGTACGGGGTAAGTTAGATGGACAGGAGAGAGACCCGGTCTCAGTCTGGTCCTGTGGTTCCCATAACGGGACAACCCCTCTTCCGGGCGGAAGTGGATTTTTATCTGGCCGGAAGTGGGAATAGTAAGGGCGGAACTGTGATGGGAACATAGAGAAAGGGCAAGGAAGCAATGTGGCTACCATCTTCCCTCCTTCCATCTCTAGTAGTCGCAAGAGCCGGAGACAGAAGCCCCACCCTTCTTAGGGCGGAAATTGCTTCAGCTCGGTTGAGGCTACCAGAGTGGGACTCAGGCACTGGAGGCGGGGAGGAGGTGAGGGCAGCGACAAAGAGGCGGAGCGGGACTTTTGGAGAAGTTAGTTCATCTCTGTCTTCTCGGGTTTGTATCTGTTCGCTCAGCCCTTAGGCTTACTTTGCCAGTCTGGATTTGTCTGCCTCGCTGACCTTCGTAGCTTTAGGCACTCCATTTGCTCTTTCAGAGCTCAAAGTCACCATTAAAAATAATAAAAAAAAAGACTCTGAAATCGTCATTATTTCTCATTTTAAGTGACTGCTCCTGTACATGGTGCGTCACACATTCTAGCAATAAATATTTTTTTTAGTGATTGCTCTGTGCCAGGCACAGTAAACAAACATTATTTGCAAGTTTATCATGTCGCTGGTCCTGTGGCTGGTCATGATTACCTGCATGATCTCATTTAATCCTTATAGGGCCCAGCAACGAAAGAACATGAGGGACGCCCCTGTGGTCCAATAAAATTATGTTAACTTGCTGCAAAAAGGAAACACTTAAATGTGTGTAGCTGTTTTCTTATGTTGGAAAGACTGAGTTCAAAACAGCAAATAATATTAAAATTTTTTCCACACTAATATCATGTATACAAAATGTCTTAATTATGATTAAGCAATATGTTCTGATAGTAATAGCTGTTAAAAAATTAAAACCATGCTTCTAGCATGATAAAATCATACTTAAGCCAGGGTTTTACATTTATGTAGAATGTTGTGGAAATTGGAAAAAGAAAAAGTCTCAGGGCCACCCCCCTCCCTCTCAATTCCTTATGCAAAAGAGAAGGTAAAAGCTTCAGGCACCTGTGAAGAACTGGACCCACAGATCATTCATTAAGGAAGTTCCTTGCTAACCTCCCATAAGCAAGGACATGCAAATTGTACCTATGTCTAGTACTGAAAACTAAAGTCTATCCAATTTCAGTCTAATAATGAGTCACAAGTTTCTTTTTACAGGTAACAGAACTGGAGACAAGACAGAATCAGACATTCTTCCACCTACCTAGGGACACCTACATGATTGATGCTTCTTTCACTCCCCTTTCCCCCTTCTAACATTCCCCTTATTTTATGTAAAATGTAGTTTTCCTGGACCTCACAAGCATGTAACCACTTTGCCTTATCAGCCTGTTCCCTCTACCTTTTTCCATCTCTCTGTATGCCTTTAAAATGCTGAAGGTTCCAACTTCCCCTTCTGAAAAACAGCTATAGCTTTTCTAAGTTTTGTGTGTTTCCCAGGTGTGTTCTCAAAATCTTGGCTTAATAAACCTCAGTTGAGTGTGCCTTTGGTTTTCTGCCATTTATTGTTTAAGTTATTTCGCACTGTTTTTTAAAACTTGAGAATAATTTTATTATCTCATTTATTTTTTCAGAATCAACATATGTGTTTGAATATGTATTTATTATACATGCTTAACTAGAAATGCTGGGCCTAGTGGCTCACGCCTGTAATCCTAGCACTCTCTGGGAGGCCGAGGAGAGGTGGGTGGATTGTTTGAGCTTGGGAGTTCGAGACCAGCCTGAGCAAGAGCAAGACCCCATCTCTACTAAAAAAATAGAAAGAAATTAGCTGGACAACTAAAAACATATGGAAAAAAATTAGCCGGATATGGTGGTGCATGCATGTAGTCCCAGCAGCTTGGGAGGCTGAGGCAAGAGGATTGCTTGAGCCCAGGAGTTTGAGGTTGCTATGAGCTAGGCTGATGCCACCGCACTCTAGCCCGGGCACCAGAATGAGACTCTGTCTTAGGAAAAAAAAAAAATAGAAATCTCCATGTACTTGGGTAATTTATATTCACTTTTTATACATTTCTAATGTCAGTTCTGAATCATTTACGCTTAATTTATTTAATTCACTAAATATTTCTTTTAAAAAAAGAGCTCTGCAGAGGAAGTGTGGAATGTTTCATCAAAGGAAGAGAGAGTAAATATAGGATTTTGGGAAGGATGAAACTTAGGTAAAATTTATATTAAGCAGAATTATGATGGACTCAAGGCAAAGGAGTTACATCATGCCTGGGCTAGGAGCAGACCCAGGATCTTGTTTTCCTTTACAAGTTTAAGATAAATGTGCAATGTTGTCTCCAGCAACCTCTCCTCTGAAGCTCTCACCCTAGTTGGAAATCATGACTGCTTCTCTGTGTCAAAGTGACTTAGACCTTCCAGGTGAGAGTGAGATATCCCATTCTCACTATTGCTATGCTTTTAAAGAGCAAACTTCTGATAGTCTGTGATTTAAGAGAACACAGTTTCTTTTTTTTTCTTCTTTTTTTTTTTGAGACAGAGTCTCACTTTGTTGCCCAGGCTAGAGTGAGTGCTGTGGCGTCAGCCTAGCTCACAGCAACCTCAAACTCCTGGGCTCAAGCAGTCCTACTGCCTCAACCTTCCAAGTAGCTGGGACTGCAGGCATGCACCACCATGCCCGGCTAATTTTTCTATATGTATGAGTTGGCCAATTAATTTCTTTCTATTTATAGTAGAGATGGGGTCTTGCTCTTGCTCAGGCTGGTTTTGAACTCCTGACCTCGAGCAATCCGCCAGCCTTGGCCTTCCAGAGAACACAGTTTCTAAATATTGTATCCTTGGTGTTAATTTTTATTGGTTTTAGTTTTTACAGGTTCATAATCAACAACTGTGTGAGATGGTTATGGACCAGGCATCTGAGGTGTAGAGTCAACTCACTTATCCAAAGTCATGTCAGGTTCAAGCCTCATGTTAAGGTTTATACCCACAACTGATGACTGCTCAAGCTTTTTTGATAAATTCTTTAAAGAGAGATTTTAAAAATGGTTTGAGGCTATAGTATATACAGACAATGGAGTATTATTCAGCACTAAAAGAAAATCAAGCTATTAAGCTGTGAAAAGACATGGAGGAAAGTTAAATACATTATTAAGTGAAAGAAGCCTATCTGAAAAGGTGCAGACTGCATGATTCCAACTACATAACATTCTGGAAAAAGGAAAAATTATGGTGATAGGAAAAAGATCAATGGTTGTCAGGGGTTAGGGGGATAGAGGGTTGAATAGGTATTGCACAGAGGATTTTTAGGACAATAAAACCATTCTCTGTGAAACTATGATGGTGGATACATGTCATTATATATTTTTCAAAATCTGTAGCATGTACAAAACCAAGAGTGAATCCTAATGTAAACAGTGGAATTTGGGTGATAATGCTGTGTTCATTTATTGTAACAAATGTACCACTTTGGTGTGGGATGTTGTTAGGGAGGGAGGTTGTCGTGTGGGAAGGTGGCAGGGGATATATGGGAACTCTGCGTACTTTCCACTCGATTTTGCTGTGAACCTAAAACTGCTCTAAAAAAGAACTATATTTAAAGAAATGATTTGAGGTCAGGAGGTTCATGTTTTGATGGGGGAAGGGGCAGCATTGTAGTGTATTAACTCAGTAGGAAAAAAACAATTCCTAAGGAGTCAGAATATATTTATTCAGTTATTCTGTCCTCTGAGAGTACTTATTCTTGGAGGGAGAGACATAGATAGGCACAGCTCAGGGTGATCAGGCCTATGAAGTAGGGACCAAGGGCCTCTAAGGAACATGGGGAACTCTGCCTGATGGGCTTAACAGGGCTATTATTTTGAGTTAGGTAAAAAGGATGAATCTTGCTATTGAGAAGAGTTCAGGATCTTGTGAGGGTCTATGCAGGGCACGTGTTACAGGACTGTGTCTGTGCAAACATATGTCAGGGGCTGCAAAGCCAGCTACACGATGGAATGTGGGTGCAGAATGAGGTCTATGTGGACCAGGCAATGAAGGTCTGAGTATAGAATGGTGGCAATAAGGAGTATGATGTTGGTTCTACATTGGATTAGAAGTGTGGTCAGGAGTGGACCAAGTTAACACAGGGCTGAAATGAAAGGAACACGGATTCCCAAAGGGCAGAATGTGAAATGAGCTCCTGAAATAAAACCTAGGTGGCTATGGGAAGAAGTCTTGTGAGAATAGAGAGGAGCAGGGATGGTGCTTTATATTTGGGGCCTCATTGGTTACTTCTGCAGAGTGCCAGGAGGGTGCACAAAGGAAGCTTAGAAGGGGGATCATTTACTCAATACTATTGGACCAGGGCAATGAATGGGAAGTGGGAAAGGGGGTGGTATAGGAAATGGTGCTCATAGTTCATTAGCTATAATAATGTCTGAGAGCAGGTCAGAGGCCAGGAGTCCATTGGTGCCCCGCAATCACAGGTAAAGAGTGCTGCACCCCAAGAGGCAACAATTTAGGGGCATGAGCAATTCTTAAATCTGCCCTTTTCCCCAAGGTTGACCTCTGCAGAAGCTCCCTCTCTCCCTCAGTACCAATGGGAAGGTCCTAATGGTTTGAAAGACAAAGTTGGCCTGGCCAATAGTGTGAAAAGCCTTGCCAGGTGTGATACTAGAGGGGAGGTGGGCTGCAGAGAAATGGAAAGGGCCTATAAAGAGGGGCCTGTCTCTGCTCCTTCCCCCAATCTCCATCACTTTATTTCTCTTTTCTCTCTTTTCTCATGCCATCCTTTAACCCCAAATTATAGGTTCCTTTCACGCTTCCCAGCTGTGTGACCTTGGTGTACTGGGGACCCCTGGTCAGCTCTGAGTAGCAGGGTCTTGGCCATGTTGCATGCTTCCCTTTTCTGTAACTGTGTGGGCTTAGTCGTCTGTCACTGGGACAGCATAGCACAGCAAGTCTTAGGCAGGTCTATTAAGGAGCACAATCATATATCCAAATTATAACTAGGGGAGAGAAGGAAGGTATGTGTTTATCTGTGGTAGTTATTGAATAACTGATTTTTACATTCAGAAGTGAATTGAACAAATCCTTTCTGTCAGTCAGGATAGACTAGGTTAGGGTGTGGTAACAAACAACCCTCAAGTCTCAGTGGCTTAAAACAACAAAGGTTTATTTCTTGCTTACTCACACACACCTAGACACAGGATGGAAATACTCTCCTGTTCTCATATGCACAGAGACAGACATGAGTCCATAGGTATGTAGAGAATCATGGAGCCCTGGAACAGGAACTCATGGAAAAACATATTTAGATACTGGTCAGCTTAAACTGCGCAACTCTCTTTGTTGGAGACTTAAGGTCCCAGGACCCAAGAAGAAGTACGAGAATATCCACCTTCAGCCAAGGAAATGCCCACATTACAAAAGGAACTGAAAGCTAATGAAGCACCTGAAAGCTTTAAAAAAGAGCTGAAAGCTTGTACTACATTAAATTCCATGCATAAATCCATAAGTAAAACATTAAATACAAAGTGCCTGCAGGCTGTCACCTCCCTGCCCCAGCCAGGCAGCTTCCACCTCTGGCTTCTAGCTCAGGAGGGAGATGGATCCCAGACGCCCAATATGCAGAGCAACGGCAGGGGCTGGGCTGGGTCGGAGGGAGGGACCAACGGGCTGGAATCCTCTTCCTCCAGCAGGAGCTATAGTAGGCAGGAAGGAAGAGGGCAGAGCAAGGTCATATCCATTTCCCTTCCCACTACCCTCTTTTTACTCCATCGAATTCAGGCCTCATCCGTGCTCACCTGGTTTATCATGCAGACCTCCTCCTCCTCACTGATTTTCCCACCTGCAGTCTTGCCTCCTCTAATCCCTCTATCAAACCCACCATACTTGTCTTTTCTTTTCTTCTTCTTCTTTTTTTTTTTTTTTTGAGACAGAGTCTTGCTTTGTTGCCCAGGCCTAGTGAGTGCCTAGCTCACAGCAACTTCAAACTCCTGGGCTCAAGCAATCCTGTTGCCTCAGCCTCCTGAGTAGCTGGGACTACAGGCATGCGCCACCATGATGCCCGGCTAATTTTTTTTTTTTTCTATATATATTAGTTGGCCAATTAATTTCTTTCTATTTACAGTAGAGATTTTAGGCATGAGCCACCGCGCCCGGCCTCATACTTGTCTTTCTAAAGCTCAGGGTCTCTGAATTTGTCACTGCTTTAGTTCAGCAACATTCCCTCCTCTCAGGGCCTCACTTTCCTTGACATCAAAGCACTGGGTATTTGCTGCTGAGTGTAAAACTGATGAAATAGATTCACTGAATAACTCAACTGCAATCTCAGGGACTAGGCTGAGGAGCCTGGGGGCCTGGCTCTGAGGATATTTAACTTGCTGATCTCTGATCTTCTTGGTTAGTCCCTGCTTACTTCAGCGACCTCCATTTTCCAGCCATCCCTATCCCATCCTCTCCTTTCAGGGAACAGGTTACCTGGTGGGCCACAAGGGTGAAGCAGGGAGATCCAGGCAGGGTTAGGGGGGACAGAAGGGGTCAGGCGGGGAGCCTGGGATGAATCTTTCAGGCCCACAAGGGCCTCAGCTGCCTCCTGCTGCAGCTGCCTCTCTGAGGGAGCAGATGTCCAGGCCAGGCGAGGGGCTCCGGTGGCCTGCAAGGGAAAGGGAGAGAAGCAGACTGGGAACCCCTACTTCTGTCCATCCCATTTCCTCACAAGCCGGTTCCTTCACAGTTTACTGTTCTTCTCTTCCCCAGGTTCAACCTCCTCCCAGGGTCCTGGATCCCACTTCTTTCCCAGGACCTGTGGCTGTAGCAGAAGAGGGTCTGAGGTACCACAGGACTGAAGTATCAGAGTTGAGCACCTAGAATCAAGGAGAGAAGATACCGTGGTGGTTAAACACATGGACAGCCATGTACACACTGAAAGAAGGGCAGGATTTTGCTATATTCTGATCTGAGAATCAAGGAGCCTGCTAGGCCATTAGGCTTGGTGGGCTTGGACAAATCCTGTCCCCTGTCTTGGCCTGGTTTATTTTCTGTAAGGTGAAAATCCTTGCCAGCTTTTTCTTCCCAGGGCTACTATGAGGACTACAGGAAATCACTGGTGTCAGTTTTCTTTTTTAATTAAAAGACAAGGTTTCACTTTGTCACTCAGACTGGAGTGCAGTGGCACAATGTAACCTCCAACGGTGGCTTACCTCTAACTCCCAGGTTCAAGTGATCCTCACACCTCAGCCTCACAAGCAGCTAGAACTACAATCATGTACCCCTATGCCTAACTAATTTAAAAAACCTTTTTTTTTTTTTGGCAGAGATGAGGTCTTACTATATTACCCAGGCTAGTCTCAAACTCCTGGCCTTAAGCAGTCCTCCTGCCTTGGCCTCCCAAAGCACTGGGATTATAGGTGTGAGCCACTGCACCTGGCCTGGTATCAGTTTTTATTTAATTTAATTAATTTATTTATTTGAGACAAGGTCTTGCTCTGTTGCCCAGGCTAGAATGCAGTGGTGAGATTATAGTTCACTGCAACCTCAAACTCTTGGGTTCAAGGGATCCTCCTGTCTCAGCCTCCTGAGTAATTGGGACTACAGGCACATGCCACTGTGCCTGACTAATTGTTGGGGGCTGATGGGCCACAACAACTAATTTTTTTTTTTTTTTTGGTAGAGACTGGCATCTTGCTATGTTGTCCAGGCTGGGTTTTTTTTGTTTGTTTGTTTTTGTTTTTTTTTGAGACAGAGTCTCGCTTTGTTGTCTAGGCTAGAGTGAATGCCATGGCGTCAGCCTAGCTCACAGCAACCTCAAACTCCTGGGTTCAAGTGATCCTCTTGCCTCAGCCTCCCGAGTAGCTGGGACTACAGGCATGCGCCACCATGCCTGGCTAATTTTTTGTATATATTTTTAGTTGGCCAATTAATTTCTTTCCATTTATAGTAGAGACGGGGTCTCGCTCTTGCTCAGGCTGGTTTCGAACACCCGAACTCGAGCAATCTGCCCGCCTCGGCCTCCCAGAGAGCTAGGATTACAGGCGTGAGCCACTGCGCCTGGCCTCCAGGCTGGTTTTGAACTAGCCTCAAGTGATCCTCCCACCTTGGCTTCCCAAAGCACTAGGATTACAGGTGTGAGCCACCATGCCAGCCTGGTATCAGTTTTTAAAAAGCTGACAAAACACCTAAAGAGACTGGGGTTACTGTCACTGCCCTATCAGAGTCTGGTTCCTCTCTCCCGAGTTCCCCAATCCCCATGGAACTTGAAGGAGAGCTTGGTTGACCTTTAGGAAGCTTTCCCTAACAGCCTTTAGCCTCTCTCCTGGGCCTCTGAGGCTCATCATCACTGCCCCACATTTCAGTAGGCAATCCTACCCCACCAAATCTGTTTAAGCAGATTTAATAGCCACTATCTGTTCGAGGCCAGAGCCTTTGTTAGGTGGATTCCATACATTATTGGCAATTCATATGATAACTCAAGAGATAAATAATAGTGTCTCCAATTTACTGATAGGGAAACAGGCTAAGAGAGGTAAAAGTATTTGTGCAAATGTTCACAGCTAGTAAATGGTGGCACTAGGAGAGCTCTGCCTTGCCTATTAGTCTGAGATCTTTTCTTCTTTATCACCCACTGTGGTGTCCAGCACAGGCTTAGTCTCATGACATACATCCTTCTCTCTGTACTCACGTGCGGGGTAGGCTAGAGGGCCCTTGTGGCTCTCCAGAAAGAGGAGCTGTCAGTACCGGGCGAGATCCTGGGCAGGAGGTGAAGGGCCCATGAGAGGGCAGCCGAAGGGAAGTGCCAGGGTCAAAGCCTAATGAGGGTAAGATAATGCAGAATGTATAGGGGTCAAAGGTTATGGTTTCCGTTCACCCTCTCCCCACCTGTGTCCTCTTCCTCCTCCCTTTCTGACACATGGCAAATCAGCAAATATCTGTTGAAGAAATGTTAAATTATCATCTTACCAGGGAAGGGATGCAGAGGGACAGCAGGTTCTTGGCACAGCAAGCGGCACACCACTGGGGGTGGCATGGCAAGGCCTGGAGGCAGCCAGTGTCCAGGGGCCCATGGGCCCGGAGGCACTGGAGTCCAGGGCAAAGGCAAGGCTTCTGGGGGACGGCTGAGTAGCAGAGGCCCCCGGGAGTTCTCCTGCAAGGGCAGAGGGCAAAGGTTGGAATTGGGTACAGGTTAAAGGAGTGGGCGTATTCTAGGATGAAGGTAGAACCCCCAAACTTTAGAGCTGGGAGGGCCGTAAAGTCCCACCCTCTCATTTTGCCCACAGAAGAGAAGTGATTTGCCCACAATTTCGTAGGAAGTCAGCGCTGGGGCTAGAAGCCAGGTGTTGAGGGCACAGAGGCAGGAGCTAAGGTGAGAGCCACTCTCTCAGGGCCCAGCCTCTCCTTACCTTCCCAGGGGGCGTCAGTGCCAGTGGGACTACTCCATGGGGGGTCTGAGGCTGAGGTGCTATGTTCTCCTTTCCAGCTGTGAAGGACCAGGCAGAGCTCTCATGAGCCTGTTCTCCTGACCCCTACCCTACCCCAACCCCAAAGTGAGTTCTTATCTTCCTCTGGCCATTTTCTACCAGCAGATCTCACTGTATCCTCCCAACACTGGGATGGCGAGGCTCAGAGAGTAGAAATGCCTTGCTCAAGGTCATATGCCAATTCAGTGGCAGGACCAGAACTCTTTTCCCCACTTATGCTTTCTACACCAAAATCCCTGCCCCATCCCTGGCCAGAGACACTCACAGGGGACCCCTGGTCGACTGGTTCCCTTCTTGACTCGGCTGGGAGCTTTGGGAGGGGCCGTCCCTCTTCTCATCAGTCCCTGAGCCAGATGCCTCTTTAGCTGCGCCTCCTGCTGCCTGCGCAAGGCCACCTGGGCAGCCATGACCCTTCGGCGCTCCCTAAATGTGGAAAGAGGTTGTTGTTAGTAAAAAGTCAGCTACCCTTTTGAGGAGGTCCATCTTTCTCCCCTCCGGGACCTTGTACTCACAGGATGAGGACACATTTGTGACACTCGCAAGCCTGAAAGAGGCAGAGGCGCTTGTGGCCCTTGAGGTGAGCAGTGACTCCGTGGTTGCGGCAGCGGGCGCAAGTTGGAGAGCGACTGATTGCTCTTCTGGGGATAAGCTCTGTGCCCTGGGGGGCTCTGGTCTCACCCCCTGGGGTAGAGTCTGAGGGGCAGTGGTGGTCAGCAGGCATTTCATTGGGTTCCATGGATCTAGAGGCAGGAGTGGAGGGTCAGGACGGCCATGTGGGCCCCCCTAACTAACCCTCCTGCCCTAGGAGGCCACACCTGTGGGTCTCCCTCCTGTCCACCTCTGGACCCCACCTTCAGCCTGGCTTCTCCCCTTTTCACCCCATGACCTTTCTCAGATATCCTCCTTCCTAAGAAAAACCCCTCTCCTCTTTCCTTTTCTTCTGCATTTTTTCCATCCAAACAATATGCCCTTTTGCTCACCTGCATACTTTCCCATGCATAAATCAGTTTTAGGCATCCTCAAGCCCCTCATACTCCCTTCAACGATTCCTACACTCCCTTTCCACAAACATCTAGTTCCATCCAACAGTTTTTCCTGGCAGCCAGTTCAACAGTTATCATTCCTACCTTTGTGCATTTATCCAATTCCTACAAATATTTTTATGCCCCTCTTTAATGCTTAGTCTCATGTATGCCCTGCAATTCAATCCCCTCCCTGCAATCCTTTAGTCTGATTTTGTTCTTTCACCCTTTTAAATCAGAATCCTCTTGCACCCCAAGTAATTACATTATTCTCAGGATTCTCTGCCCCACTTTCAATAGCTATTTTCATTCACCCTATTAATTTCGCAAATGTTTACTGAGCCCCTGCCATGTACCAGGCCTGATCTAGGCCAAAAGCCCTCTCCCAGGGTGCGAATTTTTCTCTTGCACCCACAGGGCGTCCAGGTTTTCATGCAAACCCATGAAGTCGCTGCACCCAGCGCTCATGCTCCCATGCCCGCATCCAATAACTTATCTCAGCATCCCCCTCCCTGCTCCTTCAGGCAGCCTTCCCCCTAAAATGCTGGGCTTGTGGCCACCCCCATCTGGGGTGCAAGGGAGGGGGCGGGGCACGGGGAACGCTTCGAGGGGCCCGCGGGGTGGGGGAGGGAAGAAGAGGAGCGCGAGGGACGCCAGGGGGAAGTGAGGGGGTGCTTGGGGGTGGAGTGGAGCGGTCCGGCGCAAGAAAGAGGGAGGAGAAGGGGCAGGTAGGGAGACGCCGTGTTCGCACAACCGGCCAGTGGTTACCACAGCTTCGAGCACTGTCACACTCAAACAGGAGGAGACAAAGGTACCGGGCCAGAAAGTGGAGAGAGGAACGGCCTCGCTCGCGCCAGTTTTCCCGCCCCTTCTCCCGAGGACCAATGAGCTTCAAGCGCTGCCTCCTGCTGCTGAAGCGGGCAACCAATGCGCTTCGAGATCCTGACCTGATGACTCGCCCCTTCCTTCTTGCTTGCTTCTTCGCGCGCCAGACTATTAGGCTAGCCAATCGCGCGTCGAGTTGAGTCTCGTGCCCCTGGCCCCTCCCCCCATGTGGTTTGCCTTCCGGACTGTTCTTCCCATTTGGGAAGGTGGCCAATGGGGCGTCGAGTACAGCCTTCGGGATGGAGGCTGGCCCTGCCCCCCAGGAACGGCCCGCCCAGCTCCGCCCCTCGGCCTTGAGGTGGCCCCATCTGCGCACGCGCAGCCTCGCCTGTGTGGCCTGCCTTCGCCTCAGCTGCGCTTGCTGTGGTGGCTTGTCCTCGCTGAGTGGACGCTCTTCATTTCTCTTCTCACCCGGTGCCCCTACTCCGAGCTTCCCTTCTCCTTTCATGTGCCCGCCCCACCCTGTGATTTCCCCGTTCCTTCCTGGGTTCTACCTTCTCAGGTTGCGCCCCTTGCCTCGTGTCTCCTTGTCTGTCAGTTCTGATTTTCCTAACCTCCGTTTTCCCTTTCCGGCGCTCTCCGCTTGCCCATCCTGCTGCTTTCCGAACCCACTTTCTCCCCGTGCTTCATTCCCTAACAGCCTGGTCATCTTCCCCGCTTACTTGGCTTCCTGAGACACCTCTAGCTTTTCTGTCCTTCTGCGCCCAGTGTGCATCTCCCTCTTGGGGCTCCCCTCCCACAAAAAAGCGTTGCCTTCTCCGTGTGCCCCTGGTGGGGCCAACTCACACTTTCCCGCCTCATTCTGTGTCGCCCCCTTTCCTCTGTGCAGCCCGCCCTGTCTCCTTTTCTCTCTTTCATCCTCTGAGACTGACTCCTTCCCCCACCGCCACCCCGGGAGCCCCGTCCTTGTGCCCCACGCCCCCATTTTCCGTCCCTCCGCTTGTGAGCTCTCTGCTGCTCCCGTCTCCTTGCCGGGGTCCGGTCCATCAGTTGGCACCTCCTCCTCTGTAGGTTTGTGTTTTTGTAGGGGTGGCATCCCCTCTGACTTCTCCATCCTTTTTTACTTGAGCATTTCATTTCAGTCTTTTCTGGTTGTGACCCCACCTGTGCTCAGATTGTTGGGTCTTCTCGTTCTGCGTCCCTCGCTGGTGTGTGCCATCTTCTCTGGTAATCCTTTGTCGGCCTTCATCTCTCCTTGCCATGTCCCATCTTTTCTGCGGGTATTAGTCCCTTTGTTGGCCGCAGAATTTTGGGTTACAGAGCGTTTGTGTTTGTGGCTTTCCAGGCAGAAAAGGGGGGCAAAAGTGACCTCTAGCTGGACTGCTGTGCAAGGGAGCCTTACTAGATAAAATTGGAAAGGTGGTTGGGGGCCAGTCTGGGCTGGGGTGAGGGGAGACTTGAATGCCAGCTAAAGAGGTTGAACTTGATCCTTTAGGTAGGTGGAGAGAGAGAGACAGACAGACAGACAGACAGAGGAGAACCAGCATTTATAGAGTTTCTCATTTGCCTGAAACCTATATTAATAGTTTTATTAATCTTCACAGTGACCCTATGAGATGTATTATTAACCCATTTTATAAATGAGGAGGCAGGCCCAGAGTTCAACAAATTGCACAAGATCACACAGCTAGTAAGTGGAGGGGTAAAGATTCCAACCTTGGTCTATTTTGGAGTCCAACGCCTATGAACTCTTCCACAGTTCTAGTTATTTTCGCTAATCCCCAGTCCCTACTTTCATTCCTAAACGTTCCCATAGGCAGTCATTCTAAGGTGGTTAGTTGTGTATCTTTTGGTTTGTGTGTGTTCTTCCAAGATATACAGTGTCACCACAACAATGCTGCTGCATCCTTATACATGTTCCTTTGTAGATGAAGGTGGAATTTTATATATTTTTTGAGACGGAGCCTGGCTTTGTCACCTTGGGCTAGAGTGCGGTGGTGTCAGCCTAGCTCACAGCAACCTTAAACTCCTGGGCTCAAGTGATTCTCCTGCCTCAGCCTCCTGAGTAGCTGGGACTATAGGCATGCACCACCATGCGCGACTAATTTTTCAATTTTTAGTAGAGACTGTGTCTTACTCTTGCTCAGGCTGGTCTAGAACTCCTGACCCCAAGTGATCCTCTCACCTCGGAATCCCAGAGTGCTAGGATTACAGCCACGAGCCACCACATGCAGCCTGGATATTTTTGTTTTATATACCTATTCCAGGGTATCCCAGAAATGAGTATTTATAAAGCTAATTTGACTAAGTATTGTCAGACTCCTCCCTGCTGCTGTTTTGGGACTGAGATACTGATCAGAACTCTCAACTCCTGTTCCTGTGGGTCTAGGAGAGAGTCCTATCCTTTCCTCCTAAACCACCCCATGAGCAACAGGGTACAAGGATTCCTTCATCACCACACCCCTGCCAACACTTGTCTTTTTCCAGCTTTCTGATCTTTACCAGTCTGATGGATGTACAGTTCTATAGATTGCATTTCCTTGGTTTTCGTTGGGTTTGAGTGTCTGTTCTGGTGTGTTAGCCTTTCTGGTTTGCTTTCTTGAGGACTGTCTCTTCGTGTGCTTGGCCCGTTTTCCTACTAGGGTTGTTCTCATTTTCTTGTCAATTTGCAGGAGATACTTGGCCATTCTTGTTGGTTTAAGGCATTACATATAATCTTCTTATGCCAATTTTGGCATTTAATCTTATCTTAAAAATTTATCTACTTCATCTAGGTTTTCAAATTTATAAATGTAGAATTGTTAATAATTCTTCAATTAATTAATTAATTAATTACTTTTTTGAGACAGGGTCTCGCTGTATCACCTAGCTGGAGTTCAGTGGTGTGATCGTAGCTCACAACAGATTCAAACTCCTGGGCTCAAGTGATTCTCCTGTCTCAGTCTCCTGAGTAGTTGGGGCTAGAGGTGCGTGTCACCATAACTGGCTGATTTGTTTTTAAGTTTTTGTAGAGACGAGGTCTTGCTGTGTTGCTCAGTCTGGTCTCAAACTCCTGCCCTCAAGTGATCTTCCCACCTTGGCCTCCCAAAGTGTGGAATTACAGGCGTGAGCCACGGTGCCTGACCAATGATACTTTTATTATTCATGAAACATCTGATGTCTGTTACTTCTCATTTTTTATTCTGTGTTTTATTTGCATTTTCTCTCTTGATCAGATTTACCAAAGAACTAAACCATTAATCTTTTCACAAGAATGATTTTTTTTTGTAATAATGTTTGTTGTTGGTTATTATTTCATTGATTTCTGTCACCATCCTTATTTTCATTCTTTTTTTGTGGGAGAAAATTTGCTTTGTTGCTTCTTATACAACTTGAGCTAAATATGAATGTATTTTTAAATGCTTTTTGTTTTCTGATAACTGTATTTAAAAGTATAAATTTACTTCTAAATGCTACTTTAGTTGTGTCCCAAATATTGACATGTAGTTTTTTTTTAAAAAAAACAACTTGATATTTCAAAGGATTACTGGCTCATGGGAAGTTGCAAAAATGGTACATAGAGTCCCTTGAACCCTTCCTCCAGCTTCTCCGTGGAGGCATCTTATATAACTATAATATAACCGTAGGAAATTGACATTCGTACAATACTCTCAACTAGACTGTAGACTTTATGTGGTTTTCAACAACAGATTTTACATGCACTTGTGTGTGTGTAAGTGTGAATGTGTATAATATGTAGTATGTTTATTACTGTTATTCATTTCTAAGTACTTTTAACATTTCCTTATTGAACCAAGGTTATTTAATAATGTGTTGACACACACACACATACACACACACACACAGAAGTTTTGGGTGTCCATTTGTTGTACTGGTCTCATTGCCTCTTGATGGAGAACAGCTGTGAAATAATGATTGTCTGGATGAGCCAGCATCCTCTGCTCACCACCGTGTCCAATGGGAGGACCTAAGTGGGAGGGTGAGAGTTGTGCTTTGAAAAGCTATTAAATAATATGGTGAGTGTGGGTTAGATTGGAGGGCAGACAGTGGAGCTGGGAGGACCTGTTTCCCTGAAGGTCTCAGGGAGCCTGTGTCCAGAAACTGACCCAATCAACGTTTTGCTTTAGAAACAGTGAACCAGAGGCAGGTGGACAAAGAATTCAGGTACTGACGGGAACGGAGCTTGGGACCCAGACTGAAACTGGTTCCAGATTGACTTCTAGTATCCAGGACCCAGACACAGGGCCATGGGACCCCAGCATTTGAGACCTGTGCAGCTGCTCTGCCTCCTGGGGGCTATCTCCATTCTGCCTCGTATGTCCTGTGGGGCTGGATGCTATAAGACCCCAAAAGGTGGGAGGCTGGATTCACATCACTGGGGGAAGGAGGGCTGGCTGTCTAGGTCCCTTGGGACAGGACCCATGCAGGCTGAGCTCTTGGTTGGCAGTTCAAGGGCTGAGAATGTGATGTGAGGTGCTGATGACTGGAAGAGCATTCTGCTTTTAGGGGTCGAAACTCTTTTGTGCTATGAGGCAACAGCTTCAGCCTTCAGAGCTGTTTCTTTCCATAACTGGAAGTGGCTTCTGATGAGGAGTATGGTGTGTAAGCTGAGAGAAGGCTGCGAGGAGACGCTAGTGCTCATCGAGACAGGTGAAGTGGGGTGGGTCTGACACATTTCTCTTTGCTTGTTCTGCTGATCCCCACCTTCACTCCCAGTACCCAGGGACTCTAGACTGGAGTTACAGATATTTTCCTCATTAGATGTTTGGAATAATGTCAGGATACTGGCCGGAGAGGGGCAGGGCCCAGCTGTTGTGGTGTGGGCCAGAGAAGAGGGGCAAGATGGAATTGGGCAGATCCCTGGAGGAAGGGGCTGTATGGGGGAGGAAAAAAGAAGAGGAGGCCGGGCGCGGTGGCTCACGCCTGTAATCCTAGCTCTCTGGGAGGCCGAGGCGGGCGGATTGCTCGAGGTCAGGAGTTCGAAACCAGCCTGAGCAAGAGCGAGACCCCGTCTCTACTATAAATAGAAAGAAATTAATTGGCCAACTAATATATATAGAAAAATGAGCCAGGCATGGTGGCGCATGCCTGTAGTCCCAGCTACTTGGGAGGCTGAGGCAGAAGGATTGCTTGAGCCCAGGAGTTTGAGGTTGCTGTGAGCTAGGCTAACGCCACGGCACTCACTCTAGCCTAGGCAACAAAGCGAGACTCTGTCTCAAAAAAAAAAAAAAAAAAAGAAGAGGTGCAAGGGAGAGAAGCAGGGCTCCTGTGGGGCAAAGAATGGAGGTCCCACATCTGTGCCCTGTGTAGCTGCTGGGAGTGGACATGGGGGCAGAAAGGAGGAGCAGGGGGCAGGGGGCTCTGGGTAAGGCAACAACACTGATCAGAGCTGTCTAATCCTCTGCTCCGCAGGGGCCAGAAGAGGAGTTGTGGGTTTTAAAGGCTGCAGCTCAGCCTTATCTTACCCTCCACAAATCTCCTACCTCGTTGCACCACCTGGAGTGTCTATTGCCTCCTATAGCCGCATCTGCCGGACTTATCTCTGCAACAACCTCACCAGTTTGGAGCCTTTTTTGACACTCAAAGCCAAAGCTCCTAAGTTTACAGCATCTTCTTCCCACAATTGCCCAACCTGTGTGGGCGAGCACACTAAGAGTTGCCTCCCGAATTTTGTCACCACTGATGCTTGCCCCTATGCCGCTCCTATGTGTTACAGTTCTACCTTAAAATTTCAGGCAGGTGAGAGGAGAGGAACTTTGTTTATCAAGTCCTACTCTATGCCAGGTGCTGTCTGGTGTCTTCACATCTTTGAGAGAGGCTGGTGGGATCTGGAGATGGGATTGGGGTTGCAGGGGACCAGGCACATGAATTTCAAGGAAAAAGGGGTAAGGCACCTGGTGCCCAAGTCTCTGGTGGGAGAGCAGGTTTCCTGGCTTATGAGAGGGCTGGGAAGAGGGCAGGCCTCTTGGGTTTTGAAAGTGTCCCTGATTCCTCCCTCTCTTCCTCGTAGGGTTTCTCAATACCACCTTTCTTCTCATGGGCTGTGCTCGTGAACATCACCAGCTTTTAGAAGATTTTCAGCGTATTGGGAGCATCAGAGTGTCCGAGGTCCTCAACGTCTTAGAGAAGTCCCAGATTGCTGGTGCAGGGACCTCAAGGCAGCACCCTGCTTGGGGCATCCTCTTAGGTCTCCTGCTTGCCTTTGGGGACTGACCGTCTAGCTGGACTAGACAAACACCCAGAACCCTTTGCATAATCAAATAAAGTTGCAGAGTTACTTTTCCATTTTGTCTTGTGGTCCATGAGAGTAAAGGTGTGGAAGGTGTGAGGAGGGCCAGGCATGTCCAGGGAGGCAGGGGTGCCCAGAGGAAGAGGAGCCAGGCAAAGTGACAATGTCATGCCCAGCAACTGGGGGAACTCAAATATTCCTTTTCTCCTGCCCACCTCCCTTGGGGGCCTGATCTGTAGCCTGGGTTCAGCCTAGACATATGAGATCCTGGCCAAATCTTGGGCCAGATCCTGGCCCTTTTCTGGGCCTTAGTTTGCTTCTCTCTAAGAGGAAGGGTCTTATGAGGTAGAGCTGAGTTTCATTAGGGTGATTTTTAACTGTGATCACTTACTGGGTATCTACTCTGTGTGTGTCAGACACTTTACTAGTGTCTGTGCTAGTGTTTTATATACCAGATCTAATTTAATCCTTACAAGACCTCAGTGATAGAGCTTTTATCCCTATTTTGCAGAGAAGAAGCTGAGTCTTAAATTACCTGCCCAAAGTAGCATCTCCTTTGCCTCCTGGAGATCTTTGTCCCACTGAGGGAATTTCATTGGAAGATTTGGAGACCTGAGCTGCTTTCCTCTACCCAGTAGTCATTTCTTTGTTAAGGAGGAGAGTGGCCAGCAGGGCTGGGGTGGCTGGTACTCACCCAAAGTTTAGTTTCTGGACTCCTAGGAGAGGAGGGCAGTGTGATTCCTCGGTTAGGGGGGAGAGAGAGAGAGAGAGTGTGTGTTTAGGGCTGGGGAATACGGAAGGGAGAGTCTCTGTGTAAAGCCATTTCTGTGTGTGATCTCAGTTTAATTTTCCACTATCTTATAAGGTTTAGAGGGAGGGACATAGGGTACTTTTACTGTGGGTTAAGCATTTTCTATGTATTACCTCATTCATCCTTACTACAATCTTATTAAATAGATATTGTCATTTCTATATTTCCATTTTACAGATGAGGAAACAGGCTTAACTACCTGAGGCCACAGAACCCACCTTTGTTACCAGCTTGAGAAAGTGGGATCTGAAGTACAGGTGCCTGCAACTGGCCTCAGAAGTGGGACTGGCACGAGGTCTCAATTACCATGGACCTTGATTACCTCTATTACCAATCTAGGTTCTGCAAGCGGTGAGGAAGCCAAAGGAGGTGATGGTAAGTGGAATAGGGCCAAATAGAAACTGGAGAGCCTGTGGCAAGAGGCTGTTACATCACTGAAGAGCTTTTTTGGGGATGAGTTTTGTCGGTGGACTTATCCACCCTTTCCTGACTTCTGACCAGTTGGGCTAGTAGGTTGTTTTATAGGGCTCAGCCAATGCCTGGGTGGGCCATGCACGCTTCCACATATTCTCTTAATTCCACTAGCCAAGGTGTAAGGCCCTTAACAACCTTCAAAGGGAATTGACAAGTCAAAGGGAGTGGTGTTCTAGGTGTCCCAAATGGATGGCCCCAATCCTGATACCAGGGATGGGACATGTTTACTATATATAAAAGACTATGTGTAACAAAAATATTAGCTATAGAGTGTAATTTAATGAACCCCATGGACATATCACACAACCCAAGAACTAGAACATCAGGAGTAACTTGCATCTTACTTGTATGTTTTTTCCCATCCCATCTCTTTGCCTCCTCCCACAGATTAACCACCACTCCACATTTTATTTAGTTTTGCTTGGATTGGATTTTTATATGCTTTGATCATATATGAATTATATATGTGTGTGTATAAATATATACATATATTTTTAAGAGATAGATGCTCACTGCATTGCCCAGGCTGGAGTGCAGTGGTATGATCGTAGCTCACTGCAGCCTTGAACTCCTGGGCTCAAGTGATCCCCTTGTCTCAGCCTCCTAAGTAGCTGATAACTACAGGTGCATGCCACCATGCCAAGATAATTTTTAAAAAACATTTTAGAGGCAGGGCCTTGCTATGTTGCCCAAGCTGGTCTGAAAATGAGGCTCAAGTGATCCTCCCAACTTGGCCTCTTGAGTAGCTGGGATACAGGCTTGAGCCACTGCACATGGCTGTATTATATGCTTAAACGATAAATATTGTTTAGATTTGCTTGCTTTTGAGCTCTGTAAAAATGGTATCAAATTCTTTGTGGTTTTCTGGAAGGTGCTTTAAAAAAACTCATCATTATGTCTCTAATATTCACCCATGTTCCAGTGTTTTATTTTCATTGATGTATTGCATCCTACTGTGCTATTATATCACGTTTGACCTATCTATTCTCCTTCAATTATGTTTGGGTTTCTTCCCCAGTTTTTGGCTACTACTATGACCATTGCTACTATGAATATTCTTCTTCTTCTTCTTCTTTTTTTTTTTTTTGGAGACAGGGTCTTACTCTGTTACCCAGGATAGAGTGCAGTGGCATCATGATAGCTCCCTACAACCTCAAATTCCTGGCTCAAGCGATCTTCCTGCCTCAGCCTCCCAAGTGGCTGGGACTATCGGCATACATTACCTTGCCCAGCTAATTTTTCTACATTTTGTAGAGATGAGATCTTTCCCTTGCTCAGGTTAGTTTCAAACTCCTGGCCTCAAGTGATCCTCCCACCATGGCCTCCCAAAGTGTTAGGATTGCAGGCATGAGTATCTGGCTACTATGAATATTCTTATGTATGTGTCCTTGTCTTGTATGTACGTGTATACATACAGGAGTAAAATTGCTGGGCTGTAGGGTTTGTTCAGCCTTGGGAGATAATGCCAAAGTCCTTTCCAAAATGGTTGTACCAATTATGCATTACTAGTGAGAGAGTAAAAATTTTTGTTGATCCACATGCCCTCCAAGTTTTCAGATTTAAAAATTTTTGCCAGTCTAGTGGGTGTAAAATGGTATCTCATTATGGTCTGAACTCATATTTCCCTGGTTACTACGTAGGCTGAGTTTCTTATCATGTGTGTATTGATTGTGCCTCTTTTATAAATGCCCATTTTGGGGGGTCTGTTTTTCTGTAGAGTTGTTAATCTTTGTCTTATTGATATGTAGGATTTCTTTTGTATTTTTTTATATTAGACACTAACTCTTTGTCAGATTGTCTTCATTTCTTATGGTATCTGTTGAAGTGGAGAATTTTAATGTTGAATTTATCAATCTTCCAGTTTTATGGTTGATTTTTCTTGTGCCTTGTTTTAAGAGATCCTTCCCTACTCCAAAATCTGAGATACTATCCTTTATTTCCTTGAAAAAAATTAGATTGGGCCAAACTGTTTGGCTTTTCACATTTAAGTTCTTTTTTTTTTTTTTTTTTTCTGAGACAGAGTCTCACTTTGTTGCCCAGGCTAGAGTGAGTGCCATGGCATCAGCCTAGCTCACAGCAACCTCAATCTCCTGGGTTCAAGTGATCCTTCTGCCTCAGCCTCCCAAGTAGCTGGGACTACAGGCATGCGCCACCATGCCTGGCTAATTTTTTGTATATATTTTTTTAGTTGGTCAATTAATTTCTTTCTATTTTTAGTAGAGACGAGGTCTTGCTCAGGCTGGTTTTGAATTCCTGACCTAGAGCAATCTGCCCGCCTCGGCCTCCCAGAGGCTAGGATTACAGGCGTGAACCACCATGCCTGGCCCACATTTAAGTTCTTAATCTATTTAGAATTGATTTTGGTGCATCTCTGAAGTAGAAATCTAATTTTATTTTTTTCATATGGGTAGCTAATTACTCAGCCCTCTTTATTGACTAATTCCTTCTTTCCCTGTTTATCTGCAATGGCATTTTGGCTGTATTTCAAAGTTCAAATTTGTATGAATCTGGGCCTTCTATTTTTTCCATTGATGAAATTAGCTACTCTTGTGCCAATATTACACAGTCTTAATTTTTATATTTTTAAAAAAATATTTTATTCTTTATTTTTATATTTATTTTTTATTACCATATATAATTTTTATATCTTAAAATAAATCTTATTTCTATAAGACAAACCACCCTTGTCATTTATTTTTCATCATGAAGAGAATCTTGGCTATTCTTGGACTTTTGCACATCCATATGCATTTAGGAGCAGCTTAGCAAGTTCCATAAAAACCTTGTTGGTATTTTTTATTGGAATTTTATTGAAGAATAGATGCTATGGGGAGAGAGTTTATATATTTACGAAATTGAACCTTTCTGTCCATGAACATGTGCTGTCTCTCCATTTATTTAGCCTCTTTTTAAATATTTTTCAATAATATATTGAAAATATATTATTCAAATATATTATTCAAAATATTATTCAAAATAATATTTTTCAAGTTTTTTTATTTTCTGCATTAGGATCTTGCACATCTTTTGTTATATGTATTTCAAAATAATCTATAGTATTATTATAAATGGTGTCTTTTTAAAATTATATTTTCTATTTGTTTCTAATTTATAGACATGCAATTGATTTTTGTATAGTATATTGATCTTAAAGCCAGACATTTTTCTGGAATATTTTATTATTTCTAATAATTTGTTTATAGGCTTTTTGGGCTTTTCTAGGTAGATAATAATAATTTGTTAGTTATGAGAGCTGATATTGCTGACTGGCACATCTTAGTACAATATTGACAGTGGAGGGCACCTTTGGATTGTTTTTGTTTTTTTTTTTTTTGAGACAGAGTCTCACTTTGTTGCCCAGGCTAGAGTGAGTGCCGTGGCGTCAGCCTAGCTCACAGCAACCTCAATCTCCGGGGCTCAGCGATCCTACTGCCTCAGCCTCCCGAGTAGCTGGGACTACAGGCATGCGCCACCATGCCCAGCTAATTTTTTGTATATATATTTTTAGTTGGTCAATTAATTTATTTCTATTTTTGGTAGAGACGGGGTCTCGCTCAGGCTGGTTTTGAACTCCTGACCTTGAGCAATCCGCCTGCCTCAGCCTCCCAAAGTGCTAGGATTACAGGCGTGAGCCACCACGCCCGGCTGTTTTTGTTTTTTTAGAGATAGGGTCTTGCTTTGTTACCTAGTCTGTAGCTCACTACAGACTTGAACTCCTGGGGTCAAGTGACCCTCCTACCTCAGCCTCCCTAGTAGCTAGGACCACAGATGTGCATACCATGCTCAGCTAATTAAAATTTTTTTGTAAAAATGGGGTCTTGCTATGTTGCCTAGGCTGGTCTTGAACTTCTAGCATCAAGTAATCCTCTTGTCTCAGCCTCCTAAAGTGCTAGGATTACAGGCATGAGCCACTATGCCTGGCTCGGTTGATCTTGATTTTAAATGGAATGCTGCCATTTTTCTATTAAGGATGATGTTTATTGTTCTTATTGTTTTTGTTGTTGTTGTTTTTCTTCTTTCTGGGGAGGGTAGATATACTTTAGCAGAGTAAGTTCCTTTCTATTCCTAGTGTAATATTTAAACAAAAATGGGTGGCAAGTGTTATTATGTGATTTTTCTGCATCGATTGAGATAATCATGAGTTTTTCCTTTATTCTGTTAATGTGGCAAGTCATGTATACTTTAACAAACTTTAAAAATTGATATATTACATATAGAACAGTGCGTAAATCATAAATGTATCACTTGATGAATTTTCAAAAATTGAACACACTCATGTAACTGTAAGTTACTCATGTAACTTTCCTGTAGATCAGGAAAGAAAATATTGCTGGCACCCTAGAAGCTCCCTCATGTTCCTTCCACTTGTAGATTTCTAATGTTAAAACACCTTTGCTTTCCTGGAACAAACAAAACTTAGTCATGGTGCATCATCTTTTTGTTGTACTACTTATTTGATTTGCTAATATCTTGTTTAGGATTTTTTGCATCTCTGTTCATGAGTGTGATTGGCCTGATATTGTCCCCTTTTGTAGCTCTTTTTCTGTTCTGGTTTCTTTTTTTTTTTTTTTTTTTGAGACAGAGTCTCACTCTATTGCCCAGGCTAAAGTGCCGTGGCGTCAGCCTAGCTCGCAGCAACCTCAAACCCTGGGTTCAAGTGATGCTACTGCCTCAGCCTCCTGAGTAGGTGGGACTGCAGGCATGCACCACCATGCCTGGCTCATTTTTCCTATATATTTTTAGTTGTCCAATTAATTTCTTCCTATTTTTAGTATAGACGGGGTCTTGTTCTTGCTTAGGCTCGTCTCAAACTCTTACGCTCAAACGATCCACCTGCCTCGGCCTCCCAGAGTGCTAGGATTATAGGCATGAGCCACCATGTCTGGCCCCTTTTGTGGTATTTTATTTAGGGACTTGCCCTCTCTCTGTTCATGAGAAGGGCCTGCAATTTGTCATCCTTATTCTTTCCTGGTCTGCTTTTGCTGTGAAGGTTATACTGCCACATAAACTGAGCTAATGTGTATTCTTTATTTTTCCTATTCTCTGCAAGAGTTGCATAAGATTGGAGTGAGCCGGTGTGTTGATTGTTTTGTGGATATTGTTTTTTTATTTAACCTGAAGAGATTTCACACTCTGTTTTGTGAAGTAAAATGAATAGCAGTAATTCCTGCATCTGTGTGTGCCCATGAAACCACTGCCCAGATCAAGATAGAGAACGTTGCCTGCACCAAGGACACTGCCATCCCCCTCCCAGCCACTGTAAGCTCGATGTACCTCCACTCCAATCTCCAGCACCAGAGATTGTTTTTGCCTCTTTGGGACCTGTGTATAAGTAGGATCATTCATTGTTTTCCTCTCTGCACTGGCTCCTCTCTTTCCACTCTGTCCATGTGAGGTTACCCCTGTTGTGTATGGTAGCAATCCGTTCCTGTCCCATGTTGTGGAATGTCCCTTAGTGACAATACTCCAGGATCCAACCAGTGTCCCATTGGACATTTGGATTGTTACACTTTTTGGCTTTTCTGAATAACACTGATGTGGACATTCTGATACCTGTACTTTGGTGGGCCTAACCCATTTCCTTGGGTGTAAATATCATTGTATATGCTGGAACATCTAAGATATCTACACATTTTAGATTCTCCTGCCCAATAGTTGAACAAGCCTCTATTCCCACCAGCAATGTCTCTATGATCAGTTGTTCCAATTTGTTATTTTCAGTCCATTTATCTTAGCCTTTCTCACATGGTTGGGATATTGGATGTTAAGATTTTAGATGCCCACTTTTTGGTTGAGACTCTGGGAGGAGGAGGAGGTCAGCTAAGAGAAAGGACCCACATTCATTTCTGGACAGCAGGAACCTCGCTGTGCATCAGAGAACAAAGGGCCCCATGGTCCTGTGTGCCAAAGGACGGGCAGGTACTGCCCTTACCCCAGGCAGAGCCCCAAGCATCGTCTGCAGGAACAGAGGATTCTCAGTTCCTTAGAGCCCAATGGGCCCACCACTCTCCTTGACAGGGGAGGGCAGCCTCTTGACCTCCCCGCCACCCCTGCCCTCGCTCCTGTGCACTCTCAGGCCCAGGGCCTGCCCTGTCCCCAGGCTTCTTTCCCGCCCCTTACACCCAGCACATTCCGAGGGCCCACCTCCCAGCACTACAACCACCTGGCCTTCCGTGGCCTTCCCAGAGCCCACCTCAGAGATGTGGGCAGATGTGTGGGTCCCCTTTGGGGAAGCCTGTGGGAGACAGTGAGAGCTCAGCCCCATGGAGGCCCTGGGTGCTTACTCACCAGTCACCTGCTTAGTGGCAGTGTGAGAGGCTCCTTTCCTGGGGTACCCAGTCCTATCCCTTCTCTGGATGAGCCCCCATAGGCTGGTTCTATGGGGTATGATCCTTACCTGCATGATTAGGGCAGGGACACTGAGGGCTCCCTGGGGACAGTTATGGAGCAGGGGTGGAGCTCACTGGGATGGCTGAGTGGTCAGAGGAACCATGGTCTGTGCATTAGAGAGAGGGGCAGCACAACCAGCCAGGACCACAGGGGGACAGCCCTGTAAGCACTGGGTGTTGTACTCTAGGGACGGCGTCCTCCGGAGTTGTGCATCTTGGTACTTACTGTGCATAGCTGCCCCCCACGGGGTCAGGGAGAGCAGAAGGGCAGCTCAGGGGTGCATAGTTTTCAGAGCCTGTGGAGAGAGGGAATTGCCAGAATGAGAGCCCCTGAGGCTTGGGGAACTTGAGGGGAGGACCAAGGCCAGGCCCCACATAGACACCCTGTGGATTTTCTCTGCAGGACATTAGTTTTTCCAAGAATCTTCTGTGGCTTTTGTGGTGCAGGCTACTCCCTTTAGCCTTGAAACTGAGGGTGCAGGTTGAGGAGAATGAGTGCTGCAGGGCTGTTGCAAACATGCAAGGTGGAGGTGTCCAGGCTTTTGGGGTTCACCCCTAGCGTGGCTCAGCCTGGGCTTGTGTCTGCTGTGAGCAGGGGTGCCTGGGAACATCTTTCCTGAGTGATGATGAAACCCTATGGGGGACAGATCACATCCTTGACAGTGTCTGTCTTTTGTTGGGTCTCGGCCCAGGGCATCCCTTTCCCTACAGAACACGGTGTCACCCTCACTGTGGAGATGGCACACTGAGATGGACAAGTGGTGGGATCTGGTGTTGAATGGGACCTTAAGCCAACAGTAATGACAGTGTCAGTTCATGGTTTTGAGCATTTATTGACTGAATGCAAATCTTCTAAGGACTTTCCACCTTCATCCATTGATTATTCACCGCAGCGATAAAAGTAAGTGCATCACAAGGATCGCTTTATAGGAAAAAAGTCAACTTAAGAGTTTACTAACTGATAGGAGGAGACTCAGATGACTCACAATTCATAGTCAGCCTGAGGGGGTCACTTTTGCTAGAACCGACCGAGGTGGAGACTTCACACCGACACTCTCTGGCATCCTCCCTCCTGTCAGGGTCTATGCTGAGCATACTGTGGTCTCAGGACAGCTCCATCTCCTCCGTGGCCCACAAGACTGTGCTTATTGAAGGTCCATGAGTTGGAGGTTCCAGTGTCATCTATGAGACAGGTCAGTACCAGGGGCCCCTCTCTTCTGTGACTGTGGTGCTGCTGGCTGAGATGGAGGGCTGAGCTGCTGGCCCTGCAGACAGAGGAGGTGACTGACTGAGCATGGCCTGGGGCCTGGGGACACACTCTTCCTCAGAGACCTTAGGTTAGCTTTGCCCAGTGAGCTGGGCACCCAGTGAGTGACCACCCAGGGGATGGTCCTGACCCTCTGCAGAAAGTTGGTGACAATCTGTAAGGAGACGGCAGTACCTCCCCTCTGACCCTCAGACCCCAGATCACCCCATGCTGACCCCTGATTGCTCCCCAGGACATCACCATTGTATCTGCAGGAAGAGCCTCTTCTCGTCCTGTGTGTCCAGTGTCCTCACCACAAGATGGAATGTTTCTCCTATTGACTTATGGGTGACCCTTTCCTGTCACTTCCTCTGACTACATAAAGATCAAACTCACACCTCCTACGAACTTCTGGATATGCTAGGGAAGGTATTCTTGCCAGCTGTTTTCCTAGTTTCTCAGGACAGATTTACATGAAATAAGGAGGTCATTTCCTTTTGTGGGATATTTTATTATGGAACAAGGACACCCAACTCAGTCTTTAAGATCTTAGGACCTACCTGGAGAGGTTCTAATCTAAAGGATTTTTCAATCTAAGAGAATTTTTATTTCCTGGTCTGCATATTGAATATCACAGTGAAGGAAATCTTGAGACAGGAGTGTTCACAGTTTTGAAAAAAAATGATATATATATAGAAAAAAAAAAAAAAAAAAAAACAAGGTCAGGAGTTCAAAACCAGTTTTGAAAAAAGACTGGCACTCCCAGGAACAGAAGAAATGTGCCTCAACACAGTAAAGGCCACACATGAAAATTCTACAGTTAACATCCGACTCAGGGAGAAACATGAAAACTCTTCCTCTAAAGTCAGGAACAAGACAAGGATGGTGTTGTTTTGTTTTGGTTTGTTTTGTTTTTAAGGCTAGTCCAGTCTGGCAGTGAACTGGAAAAGGAACAAAGAAATCTGTAACTGGTTGTGATCAATTAGTTGTAAATACTATTGCACTTGGGCCAGCCAGGTATGTTGCTTTTATCACTTCAATTCAGCATAGTACTTGAAGTCCTGCCTGGAACAAATAGGCCAGAAAAAGAAATAAAGGCATCCAAATTTCTAAGGAAGAAGAAAAATTGTCTGTGCAGATGACATGATCTTACATGTGGTAAACATAAGATTTCACACACACACAAGACAATTGTTAGAACTAATAAAGTTTACAAAGTTGCAAGATATAAAATTAACAGGCAAAAAGCAGTTGTGTTTTATACACTAACTGTGAACAATGAGAAAAGGAAATTAATAAAACAATTCATTTACAATAGCATCAGTCAGAAAAAAGCACAGGCATAAAATTAATCAAGGAGATGAAAGACTTGTACTGAAAAATATAAAATGATGCAGAAACAAATTAAAGAGGAAAAAGATAAATATGAAGACACCCTGTGTTCATGAATTGGAAGAGTTAATATTTTTAAAATGCCAAAACCTTCCCACAGCTATATACAGATTCAATAAAATTCCTATAAATGTCTCAATGACAGGTTTTGCAGAAATAGAAAATCCATCTTAAAATTTGTATGGAAATCCAAGCTACTCAGAATAGCCAAAAAACATTCTGAAAAAGAACAAAATTGAAGGTCTCACACTTCCAGATTTGAAAACTACTACAGAGCTACAGTAATCAAAATAGTGTGCTCCTGGCATATAGACCAAGGGAATAGAACAAAGATTGTGGAGATAAACGCTCACATATATGGTGAAAGAATTCTTGACAAAGGTGCCAAGACCATTCAGTGGAGAAAGGACGGTCTTTTCAATAAGCTGGGAAATCTGGACATCCACATGTTTAAAAAACTGAAATTAGTCCCTTGCCTTACACCCAAGTCAAGTACTAACTCAGAAAGGATCAAAGACCTCAACATTATACCTAAAATCAGAAAACTGTGAGAAAAAAATGCGTGAGGAGAGCTCCAAGACCTTGGGTGTGGCAATGATTTCTGGATATGACACCAAAAACATAGGTAACAAAAGTAAACACAGATGAAATGGAGTATCTCCAAGTTAAAAACTTCTATTTAGCAAAGGAGACAATCAACAAAGTGAAAAGGCAACTTACAGAATGGGAAAAATGTCCACAAATCATACATCTCATAAGGGGTTAATAACCAGAATGTGTATAAAGTACTTGTACAATTCAACAACAAGAAACAAAATGAATTGATTGAAAAATGGGTCAAAGACTTGAATAGACCTCTCTCCAAAGAAGATCTACAAATGGAAAATAACCACATGAAAGATGTGAATGTCACTAATCATTGGGGAATTGCAAATCAAAACCATAATGAGATACCCTCTCATACCCGTTATGATGGCTCCTAAAAAAATCCTAGAAGGTAACAAGTGTTGGTGAGGATGTGGAGAAGTTGGAACCCTTCTCCATTGTTGATGGGAATACAAAATGCTTCATGATCTGTGAAAATGGGATTGTGATTCCCTGCAAAATTTAACATAGAAGTACCACATGATCCAGCTACACACTGTGGGTATACATCCAAAAGAAATGAAAGCAGGGTCTTGAAGAGATAGTTGCACATCCTTGTGGATAGCAGTGTCTTTCACAGGCGCCGAAATGTGGAAACAACTTACGTGCCCGTAGACAGATGAGTGGATAAACACCAGGTGGTATGTGCTATGATGGAATAGGGTTTAGTCTTTCAGAGAAAGGAAACTCTGACACATGCTACAATATGGATGAAACTAGAAAATGTTATGCTAAATGATGGGAAATAATCCCGTCACAAAAGGAAACACACCGTGTGATTCCACTTGTATGAGGTATCTGAAGTAATCAAGTCATACAGAAAGTAGAATGAGGGCTGCCAGGGGCTAGGGGATGGGAAATGAGGAATTAGTGTTTAATGGGCACAGAGTGTCAGTTTGGGAAGATGAAAAGAAGTCTGTGGGTGGACAGGGGTGATGTAGCAAAACAATGTGGTTGTGCTTAATGCCACTGGACCGTCCACCAAAAATGTTTAAGATGGTAAATTTTATGTTATGTGTATTTTGCCACAACTAAAGTAAAAGGCTGATGCTCATGCCCTCTCTGTCAACACACATTTTTGGCATTTCACCTTCACCCTCCTTGCAGAGACTCCATGCGTGGATCTCCCTGTTTCTCCAAGGGACCATCACTTGCTGTTCTCTATGGTGTGTCACAGGTGCTGTGTCCACAGCTTTATGTAGTTGGTGACTTCAGAGTCAGACACAGGTCAGGAGTCTACCTCCAGACTCTCTCTCTTCCCATTTCCCTGCAGCTTCACCAGGGAAAGGCTCTGACAGCACAATGTAGCCAAACAATTTTCTATGGTCTCAGACCTCACAACGGTTAGTAAAGTTAAGGTGCCGGACAGAGCTCAAAAGCCAAGGCCGAGACAGGCAACATAAAACAATGCAGCCATTGGTAGTGCTTCCTGGTCTCAATCCCAGGCAGCAGCTCCTTCCTGGCCCCCATGGTTATGCCTGTTTTAGGTTGCCCCCCTCCATGGGGAGTCTTACCCGGCATTGACTACCAACCATCAATCGGGGGCCAGTTCTTAGGAGAGTTCTTTTTGTTCTTGTTCCCATGGCCTCTAGACGTTCACCACGGGGGCCCTCTGGGTGGGAGTTGGGAGCATTTGCTTATGTGCAACAACTCAGGCCTCTTATCAAGTCACAAGGCAGTAACTGTGTCTGAAGAAAATGCTGACTACCGCTGCGTCAGGCAGCACACGTACAATACAGACTATAGTGAATGATTAGTATAAGGTATAACACCAGAATCAACTCCCAACAGTAGCCAGATTCAGGCCAGGCCATCCTTCTCCATATGGCCCGTCCCAGCCCAGATGGAGTCAGAGCAGAGCCCCATCACCAGGCGAGCAGGGAGCAGAGCTCTCAGATGCTCATCCCTCCTCCAAGGGGGTTTCTTCCTCTCATTTGGGGAAGAAATAATGTGAGCCTATTTCGAAACCTCCTATGTTCCTTGTAGCTCATGGAGTAGGTAAAAGAAAACAAAGAGGTGACAGAGAGGGACGTTCTGGTGATAGAGAGAAGCCACTTGACCTTGAGGACCCTTCTTCTCCCTGCTCTGTGAAGCCCCTCCCACTGGATGGGGCTGTCTGGGGCTGAGGGAATCCCCTTCCCACATTCCAGGCTGGACCCAAGGTCAGGTGTGCAAAATCAGAGAAGCCAGGGAGGTGACAGTCTGCAGACACAGAGTGGGAGGGCTGGGGCAGGGGGTGGGGCAAGCTGAGACTTGTTTGTGCCCAGAACACAGGCTGGGAAATCATTTCTTCCTGGCTCTTCTCTGAAAAGGAACAGACTCCAACCCAGAGTTTGGGGCCAATGCTCCAGGGATCTGTTTATTAGAGACAGAATCTTGCTCTGTCACCCAGGCTGCAGTGCCTTGGTACAATCACAGCTTACTGTAACCTTGAGTTCCTGGGCTCAAGTGATCCTCCTGTTTCACCACAGACAAGTGCACATCACCACACCAACAAATTTTTAAATTTTTTTTGTAGAGACAGGCTCTCACTATGTTGCTCAGGCTGTTTTTTAACTCCTGGCCTCTAGTGATCATCCCTCCTCTGCCCCCCAAAACACTGGAATTATAGGTGTGAGCTCAGAGACTGTGATAATCTTGCCTGTGGTCCTATAGAAGCCAGTGGCAGAATTGTGGGCATGGGAGGCATAGGGCCTTCATCCCCAGTGACGTTGGGGATGAAGAGCTCTTGTGTGGGTTGCTGGAGATGCCCATTGATAAGCCAGGAATACTGTGCAGGCGGGTTAGAGGCCACGTGGCAGGAGAGATTAGGGTTTGCCCCTGGATGGTAATAGGAGTCTGGGGGTACAGATGGTAGGGCCGTCGGGGCCATCTGGACAAAGAGAATAAAGCCACATGTGATGTCGTCAGAGGGAAGGGGAAGCTCCTGGTAGAAACACTACAATGTTCCTCTGAGCTGTGTCCCAGTCTTGTATTAAAATATTCCAAGCAAGCTGGGCATGGTGGCCAGAGACTGAGGCAAGAGAATCACATGAGGCCAGTAGTTAAATCAGCCTGGGTAACATAGTGAGACACCATCTCTTAAATAGAAAGGTCACAGCAATAACCCTATATTCACTGAGTGTGAGCCTGAGACATTAAACTGTTTCTCCTATCACAGGTTGTTGGTCCTAAGCTTCTCAGGACAGGAGCAGTCCCTCTCTCCTATTCTTGGTCAAGGTTGGGCCTGCCTGGGTTTGCCTGGGACAGGAAGTCTTGGCCAGGGTGTCCACGGGTGAGGGTCTGTGCACTTGGACCCAAGAGGGACTGAGTGGCCTGGGTCTGTCCGTGCGGATTTGGGTTGGCAGCACCTACCACAGTGACACAGAGGAGCACAATCAGGTGACTGGGTCACTGTGGCTGGCAGTGAGTTCTATGTTTCACACACAAAGGGTCCTGGGTCATCCCTTGTGACACTGAGTAAAGTGGGAGCCCTGTTGTTCTTGGACAGCTCCATCCTGAGATCGACCAGTGGTTTTTGACTGTTTATCTGCTACAGGTATTTTGTGTCCTGAGTGTCTGGTTTGTAGGTTGAGCCTACAGAGTATTCATCCTCCCCGTGCTTGGATTTGTTGCTTGTGCCGGAGGGTTTGGGTTACTTTGCTATGCAGATAACAGACAATTGCCCTGTGGGGTACCTTTGATTCCTCCAAAGGCATCTTTCAATCAGATTTAGAGTCTCTCACCTCTCAGCCAACCTTAGTCCTTAAAGACTAAGGGAGGTGCGCATGTCACAAGACAGATTCTTGATGATCTCAGGGCTCAGAGAAGGTGAGGCCGCCTGCTCTGGGAGATTCACAGCCTTTCTCAAGTGTGAATTAAGCAGAAGCTTTATTGGGTTGTGGACAGACACAGGACCGGGAGTCAGAGATTCCCTAGCGCCTTTCCTGGTCCTCCCCTGACCTGCTGACTGCCTGAGTGGCCTCAGGACATGTGGGTGCTGAGTCCCTTCCAGCTTTGCAGTTCCACATTGCCCAGCCGAGGTCTGTTTTCCCTGAGGCCTCACTTCTCAAGGATGCCCTAGAGATGGGTGATGGCGGGGCCTGGGTGCTGGAGTGGAAATAACACAGGAATATCAGAAGCAAATCTAGGAGTCAGTTGAGTACTCAGACTGCAGGGCCAGGAGGTGGGGCAGTTCTGACCAGGTGACAGTGACTGACTTGACCAGTGAGCCAATAAGTGGTGGAGGAGATTCCAGGAATTATCTAGAAAGAGTAAGGGCTCAGGCAGGAGCAGGTCACTTTGGAGCAGAGCCATGTTCCCTGTCTTAGGTCTTTAATGTCCCTTTTCCCCCTTCAGGGACAGGTGAGGGCCATGTGAATCTTTCCAGAAACACACATGGACATTTGAAAATGCAGAACAGACTTGTGGAAAGAGGAGAGCATGAACGTGCTGGAAACCTGGCCCTCATGGACCATGTGTGTTGGTCAGATGGGATAGAATTTGAGCAGCAGCCAAACTTCTTCCCTATGTGAAAATTATCATTAGTACACAAGGGTATGATACTCATTGCTGGAGGGAATGTTACTCTAGAAAAGAGTAAAGGTCTGTGGCAAGGTCTCAGCCCTGAGGGGCTGGGAACAGACATGGTCAGAACCTCCTAGGATTCTGCATCCAGGATCCAGTCTCTGAAGAGGTTGTGGATCATTCATTCATTCATTCCCTCTTTCATCAGAGAACTACTGAGAGTGTTGCATGTTGGGCCCTGTGATGGTGAGGGTGTGAATAGGGAGAGAGAAAGCCACATCCTTTCCTGTACCCTCCGTGGCAGTAACATGGACACACCAGGAAACACCTAGTTTAGAGTCCAATAGGCAGGGGGTGTGAGGGGGAGGCCTGGGCATTCTCTGCCCTGACTCTGATTGTTGGTTTAGTTCTAGAGTAAAACGGATTCTCATTTGCTCCTCACTCCTCTAAGGATAGCTAAGAAGAAAGGATTTGAACTAATGGATGACCTTGGCATCCATGGAACCTAAGAATCCCCTTCTGGAGGGAGAGCAGATGTGGCTGTGGCTACAGACAGACCTCGTGTGACTCTGAGCTGCCACTCCTGTTCATGTGACTCTGGTTCAGTGACTGCATCACCCCATGCCTTAGTTCCCCCACAATAGAATAAGATACATAATATTAGGCTGCCAGGCTGTCTATGAATTAACCTTAAAATAGTCATGGACCTGACCTAAAGCTTGGCACAGAGGAGCTGCCCAAGCACACGGCATCAGTTATTACTGCCTCCGTGAGAGAGCAGCCCTGGACCTGATCCCTGGTGGACAAGAAGCTGCCAGAAATATTTTGTCTCCTCAGTTATAACCCCTGGGGACACTGACATCCCTAGGGCATCTCTTAATTTCCCCATCCTTGGGCTGATGGCCTGGGGAGCTGGTCCTTTTGTCCTCTCCAAAGCAAGTCTCAGGTGAAGGACTTGGCTCTGCCCTTGCCCAGAGGAGGCTCTGGGGTCAGGCCCTGGCTGATGACCGAGCTGCTCTCAGACAGCTGGTAAATCGATGCCCCCAGTCATCCCTGCCCAGGGGACCAAAACCCAGCCCTGGCACAGGCTCCCCAGGGTCACCTGGACTCAGGAGCCCTGGGCCTGAGCTTCTCTGTGATGATCCTAAGGGGGCCTTCAGGCCAGGCCCTGACCAGTTCCTACAGCGTCCTTCTCAGGACCTCCCCAATGTCCATGGGAAGGGCACAAGGTGCTGAACGAAGACTAATCCCCTGCTGAGTTACCTGTCACACTGGTCCTTCCTTCTGCAGGGAATGTCTGCAGGGTTTGGACACAGGAAAGGATTCTCCCCTGTGTGTGTCCTGCACTAAGTGCCCAAACCCCACCATGGGACATGATGCAGAGGGGGAGGCAGGCACAGTCCATTCCATCTACTCCCACAACACCCAGAGGTCACAAAGGGATCACTCACGGTATACGTGGAACTGTCCAGTCACTTGGTCATTCTTGAGACTTCTACGTACGATTAGTAGAGTGTAGTATCCTGCTTCCTTCAGGGTGACGTTTTGGAACAGCATGGTTGCATTGGGGAATATGTTCTCACGCCCACTGTACACAGGCCCCAGCCTCTTACAAACATTCCAAGAAGATTGTCCGTCAAAGTTGTTGTCCCTCTGTACCATCCATAGCCATAGACATCCAATGGCAAACTGTAGACGAGTAGAAAAACATTCGTCCCCTCTGAGGCATTGAATGGATGGGAACGAACAATAGCTTTGCCAGTGGTGGGCGGGTTCCAGAAGGTTAAAAGTGAGACTAGGAAGGAGAAGAATCAATCCATACTGGGACCTATGAATTGGGATGGAAAGATGGGCCCTGGGTCCTGAGCAGGTCTCTTCACCCTCAATCTTGGGGTGTTAAGGTGTGTGTGTGTTTGTGTGTGAGAGTGTGTGTGCGTGTGTGCTCTGGGTCAAGGTCAGCAGTGTGACCACCATCACTCCAGCGCCTCTGGACTGGCCATGCCCCTGCTTGGAGTCCTCTTCCCAGGTGTCTGCACGGCTCACCCCCTACTGCCCTCAGATCTCTGCTCACACTCAGGGGTGTCCTTGGGCGGGACCTTCCCTGGACACGCCCTCTAACGACCCTGGGTTTTCCCTTCCTGACCTTTCCCTGCCTGTTCCCTTCGTGGCTCTTGTCCACAGCTCAAATGTGACCTCCACATTCGAGATCTCTCTGCTTGTCTGTCTTCCTCCCACTAGGACATCAGCTCCGTAAGGGCAGGGACGTGTCTGACCTTTGATGTGCCCCAGAGCCTGGGACAGGCTGCGGACACCTGTGGGTGAGTGGATGAGCGTTTCCAGGGCCTGCCATGTCCTGGTGTTTATTTTACAATTTCTGAGATTGGTGGCTCAGGACAATGGTTGATACCCTGTTAATATTTTTATGTCAAGTGTCACTCAGATATAGTTATTATGATTTTTCACAGTGTAGTAGCCAGTGATGATTCACCAGGAACACAGAACACTTGAGATTTTCTTGCCCCTTAGCAATTCTAGTTCACTGAGAACTTTTGTTGTTGAACATTCCCCTCCACCTTCTTCAGGCTCCAACAGAAGCCCTCTGTCCCTCTCAGAGTCCCGTCTTCCTCAGAAGACCACAGCCAGTGTTTGTGCTCCCTCTTCCCACCCACTCCCCATGAATCTTCTCACCTGTGAGCAGGAGCCCCTGCCATAGGACGAGCCCTCTGCGGGGAGGGGCTGAGGGGGGCTCCATGGTCCCTGCTGCCTGCTCTGTCCTCTATGCAGAAGAGCTTCAGCTCCAGGAACACTCCCAAGCACAGCTGCTCTGCTGTCCTTCCTCCCTCTGTGCTGAATCTCCTCCTTGGGCTCAGAGCTGGCTGGTCACATGTGCTGGGGACAGAATCTGCCCAGGATACTTCCCTGTTCCCTCCCCTCTAGTCCTGCTTACTTTGTCCCTCCTTCCCCTTTCCCTCTGTCTACATGTCAGTTCCTAAACCACACTTTGAGAAGCAGAGTTGATGGGGTCTCCTGTGCCCGGAGAGAATGACCTGACACTCCAGCACTGACCCTGACACTGACAGATGCTCAATAAACCCTCGTTAAACGGATGGGGACCACACAGCAGCAGCACTCACCTCTGTGGGACACTTGCTGGTCAGAGCATGTCCCAGGTGGACACAGGGCACTGGTTGAGCCCAGGAAGAGGTCAGAGAGTGCCAGCGCTATCCCAGGGACAGCCTTTACCCTCGGAGCTTCAGGAGGGCACACAGTGGCCCTCCTAACAGTGAGGATCCAGGACACACTCATTCCCAGAACACTGATACCCCCTCTCTACCTTTAACTTCTGGGTGACATTCCATCTCCCAAGAGGTCCTGGGCTGGCAGCCTGTGTCCTTCCTCTTCTCACAAAGACACCAGACCTGCCACAAACTCGGGATCCTCCATCCTCCTGCCACTCCCTCGGGATCCACAGGGAGTGGCCACGAGGGGAGGACTGATGCCCATCCAACCACAGGAAGTCAGGAGGGGACTCCCCAGCCCTGAGGATCCCTGGTGTGTGGGGACATGTGGCTATGGTCCCCTGCAGACATGTCCCCAGCCCAAGGAGTCCTGGGGAACTAGGGGAACATCCTGTGCAGGGTGGGACAGGAGAGTCCAGGATCTGCCTTTGCTCCATCTCAGAGGGGCTGAGGGTGTGAGGGGCCTCCCTTCCCTAACAGAGGAGCCCAGGGCTCTCTTGGCCGAGTGTCCAGGTGGAGCTGCCACAGTTCCTGGGCCCTGTTGGGGATCCTAGAGCAGACGACAGACAGGGACACAAGTAACATTGAGACAGCACCCCCAGTTCTGGGATGGGTCACAGGTGGAGGCTTAGGTCCGTTAATATAAAACACCTAGTAGGCCGGGCATGGTGGCTCACACCTGTAATCCTAGCACTCTGGGAGGCCGAGGCGGGAGGATTGCTAGAGGTCAGGAGTTCAAAACCAGCCTGAGTAAGAGTGAGACCCCGTCTCTACTATAAATAGAAAGAAATCAATTGGCCAAATAATATATATACAAAAAATTAGCTGGACATGGTGGCGCATGCCTGTAGTCCCAGCTACTTGGGAGGCTGAGGCAGAAGGATCACTTGAGCCCAGGAGTTTGAGGTTGCTGTGAGCTAGGCTGATGCCATGGCACTCACTCTAGCCTGGGCAACAAAGCGAAACTCTGTCTCAAAAAAAAAACAAAAACAAAAACAAAAACAAAAAAACACCTAGTAGACTAATGGACTTTTCTCTTATTAATATTGCCAACTTCTTATGACTCATCTCAAGAACAGGCTTTATCTCTCTGAGGTGTGAAGCGTTCCCCCAGGCAGGGGATGAGGGGAAGGTAGGGAGAAAACACCATTCTCCTTGGGTATTTGGTTTCCCCATTCTCCAGTGGAGTAGACTTGGAAGCATTTGTTGATCGATTCCATGGCTCATGTTGCTCTAGTAGTAGTCGTTTATTCGCACACACATTCAGTGAACATTTCAGTGCCTGGTGTGTGCCTGGTATTTGCTCAATGGTGGACACTGAAGAATGAGGAGTGGTTCTGTCTCGGGGGAGCCCTCACTGTACACACAGACCTTTGGTGACCTGATCCACCTACCCTGTTTTACAGACGTGACAATCAAAGTGGAGGGAAGTTATAGGATTAATTCAGCATCATATAGTCAGCCAGCCTGGAAGTCACAGGGGTAAGACAAGTTTCCTGACTTGCTAGATTTTCTGTTCGTGTGCAGCTACTGGCTGCTGCACGTGCAGGTGTGGTAAGCTCCGACAGAAGAGAGAACACTCAGAATGAAGCAGGAGCCCCGAACACCCTGGATTAGCCAGAAGGAAACCCCTGGTCCAACTATGACTACTGGGGACAGTTGCATTCTCTTGTTTTCATTGTGAGGTTGAAATGAGGAAAATTGAGCCCAGAAAACCAAGTGGAAGATTTCCCCCAGGGCATTGGTGAGATGGGCAAAAGAAGCCTGTGTTTGTGGCTCTCGTGCTGTGTCTCACTGAGCGGTACTGGGCTGGCTGTGGGTGGGGGTCCCTCTGTGGCCTGGAGCTCTGTGAGGGCAGGGACCAGGTCTGATTCATCTCTGTCTCTCCAGCACACAGTACATAGCAGGCTCCGAGACACGTGTCTTAAAAAATAAAACTGAATTAAAAGTCTATACCTGTGCAGGTGTGGGATGGCCGAGCAGAAGCACAAGCAGGAAAAGTCAGTGTCCCCAGATCGGCTGGTGTGGGGTTTGGCTTTCTAAATGGGGCATGGTGCCAAATGGGGGTTCGGGTCCTGTGGCTCTGCTGCTCTGGTGGGACACCCCTAAGAGTTCAGAGTGTCCCTGTGGTTGCTGCATTCACTTGCCCATGGGAAAGTGACCGGAGTGTGTGGGGACTTCAGAGTCCTCCATGTGGGAGACACTGAGGCAAGATGGGGCTGGTGCTCATGGTGGTCGTTTACCAAGGTTTGAAGGTCGGTTGTAGAAGGTATTAGACTCATTTTGGTGCCTACAGAGAGTAGGATGGGGATTGGTGAGCATGTATCGGGCACATTTTGGCTCAGAATGAAAAAGAATTGTCGCAGTAGAGTAAGTTTCCTGAGAAAATTACAAATTTACTAGCGGAGTTCAGGTGGGGGCTGGGTGTCTGAACATACCTGTCAGAGTGATTTCTAAGGTTACAACGGCAGAGCTTGGCTTGGAACCCAGATTTCCCTCTGATACTACATATTAGGTGTTAGAAAAGCTGTCTTTTGAAATGCGACATCGCTGCTTGGTGCAGGCTGAGCTCCCTCTGACAGTACTTCCAGTCGTTGTGGGCGGATGTGATTCTCTTGTCTAGTCGTTGACTTGGCCTTCACTCCAGCCCCTCCCAGCTCCTTCACCCCAGCCCCTCCCAGCTCCTTCACCCCAGCCCCTCCCAGCTCTTTCACCCCAGCCCCTCCCAGCTCCTTCACCCGAGAGACCCAGAGTTACGTGCACTTACCAATGATGGCCATACGGTGGCAGCACCACCCCACTCGTGTTCCCTAAAGCTCTACCCGGATGCGGGCAAGTCGGAGAGGGCCTGTTAGGGTTAGAAAAAGGCACAAAGGAGGTGAACAGGTAGACTTTTTAATTTTTCTTTCTCCTGTGAAGTGACAAAGTTGAGGTGAGTGTGAAATAAAAGAACTGGAAAACACTTTAGAGAAGCACTTCGCAAACTCTAATGTGCTTATGCATCACCCAGAGCCTTTCCTTAAATACAGATTCTCACTGTTCCAACAGGGCCTGAGATTCCGCATTTCTGGTGGGTGTTTGGACAATGCCCTTGCTGCGGGCTGGGGACCACACTTTGAGTTGCAAGACTTTAGGGTCACTTAGTTTAATTCTCCTTGCTCCTGATTTGTGGCTGAAGAGAGACTGAAGCCCAGGGAGAGCATATAACTTGCCCAACAGAGCCAGGACCTTAGTTTGCATTTAAACCCAGGGCTATGGCCTCTTCGTCCAGTTCTCGCTCCACTGCGTCATGTGGCCTTCTTTGCTGTTGTGAGTGGCATCTCTTTAGCTTGGGAACCCAGGACCCTGTTTTCACCATCCCCCTTGTCTTGCTCAAGCTGTCACGTTGGTTACTCCTTTACTCAAAACCTTCAGTGGCTCTTCTGTAAACACAAGATCAAGTTCAAATGTCACTGTCTAGTGTTCATGGCTCGACAACATATGGCTCCCTTTGGCAAGCTTACCTAACTTCCCTATTTTTAATCGTCTTGTTCTGCCACAGCTCTCTCTCCCTGCTCCTTTGTGTCCCCTAAATATGCTGCATTCAGTTCTCTCTTGGGGGTGGTGGTGCTGGGATGGGCTCTGGAGCTCGACAGTCCCAGTTTCTCATCCCAGACCCACCACCAGCCTTTCTGAGTATCAGCTTCCTCCTCTGAAATAATCCTGTGTATCGGTTGGCAGGAATGAATAAAATAACACGGAAACCCACTCTCCTTCCTGAGGGCCTCTTCAAAACTAGCATCTATGGTGGTGCCTGACACCTGGCTCCCTGGGCTCATATTTCTCCTTGTCTCTGCTTTCCTGAGGCTTAACCAATGAGGGCCTGACTGGAATCCTGCCTCTTTCATGGAAACTCTCCCAGCCATTCCAGACCCAGTTGATCCCACCCTTCTATAAATCATCTCACCCGTGTGTTAGCATTTAGTTGTGTGCCAGCCCTCTCAGTGAGACCCCAGAGGGCAGCTTGAGGGAAATTGGCTTTGTGATAACTGAGGGGTAATTGAGTTAATTCTTCTGTTAGTGCTTCCTGAGTATTGAAATTACCTTCTCTTTTTCTCAGCTGTTGCCTAGTAACAGTTCCTCCTGCACCAGCTGCCCAGACCCTGGTGGTCTTGTGAGCACCTTAGGGATTGCTGTTGTCAGAGTCCTTCCTGCCTCTGGATTTTGGTTAAATTGTTGTTTGTTTTGTATGTTATCAGACAGCCCCTCTAAGGGAAGGATTGATGAAATTGCTTTATGAAAACCCAGGATGATGACTCTAAGGAAGTTGAGCACAGTGTCTTATTGCTTCAACAGCCTGGTAGCAGGAGATGTGTACACTTTCCTATTTCATGAAATTTATGCCAGGATCTTTAGTCTCTTACTTCAGAGGAGATTAAGGACAAAAGACCAAGTGGGGAGGACAAGGCTACTTAAGGGACGTCATGTAGCTCTGGCCTGGATTCTGTGAATTGTGCAACTTTGCATGTGTGGACATATGTTTATATTACATAGTTCATAATTCCCTCTCGGTCAGGGGCAATTATGAGCTCATGGCAGGCTGAAATTATTGTTCCAAAAGAAAATGTTTAAAAAAAGGAAAAGAAAACTTCCAGATATTTCTAGTGAGTTGCTAAAGTTGCAAAGCACTTCCTCAAGTTCTGTTGCTTAATACTGTGAGAGTGATCTTCTTGAAAATGCTTTTCTGTCATGTGTCTGACTTCTCAAAGCTTCCCAGTGACTTCTGTCATCTATAGGATAAAGTTCAAATTCCTTAGGCTGCCACTCAAAGCCCCCCATAGCACGGCCTAGATCTACTCCCTGATGTTCGCAGAAGGACCTGACCCACATTTCACTTTCTCAAGTCTCAACTTATTCTAAATCTTTTCTTTTTTCCAGTAATAATACCCTTACAATAATACCTTATCCAATAATACAACTCCTGAACTTCATCCTAAGGCCCATTGCAGATCCTGTCTCTTCATTGAAGGCTTGTATGGTTTTTTTTCTGTTAGAAGCAGAAATAGTTCCTTTCTTTGAATTCTGGTAGTTACAGTGGTGTGGAGTGAAACATGAGCTTTAGATTAAAACATATGTGGATCTGAATCCTGGTTCCATCTTT